AGATGTTACTGCCATGGCCAGTCCCAAAAGATAGACGACCGTGCAGCCTGATAGGCCCGGCACAGTTATATGTGCTCCGTTGACTCTTGAATCGGCAGCTCACCTTGATCAATGAAGAGGCAGCCCTTTTCTGTTAGGAGAGTGAAGGATGGCGGTTCAAGGTTTGTTACAAGGGCAAGATTCGCGAAGGATCCTGCAAGAAGCGTCTACGGTATGCGGCAATCTCGGTGGCCACAGTATTGAAGTCTTTCACCTTATCGCGCCGCATGTCGTTGATGATTTGTTTCAGTCCAGCGATGTACTGGTCTTTTTCTTCGGGAGTTTTGCCTTCGCGGAGGGAGCCCATCTGGACCAAGATCTTGTCATCTGTCCGGGTTAATAGTTCTGTGCGTCAGCATCCGAACAGAGCAAATAAAGTCGAGTGAAAAACGATGGTGATGCATAGGAAGGTAGGGACGATAGGAAAGCAGTCAAGAGATGAAAGACAACAGGAAAGGAATGGAGAGGTGAAGGCGAGGGTGGGAAGAAAGAGCCAGGAATGCTTGAACAAAATCCGCAACGCAATGAGAAGGGATCAGATATTGTAGATGTCTGGAAAGCTAGATGGCAGATGGAAAGGTGTTGAATGTAGCTTGCTCAAATCGTCGACGCACCGCTAAGAGTCATGTCCCGAAAATGCTGGAATTCACAAGATCGGTCGTTGCAGACACCCCCTGCGGCCTCGAAGGGACAAAGATATTTCATAGGGTCAATATTGTGGCTGTAGGTTAAAGAGCGGAAGCCTTGTGTAGTATCACCGGAGTAGTTGGGGTGATAACGATAGGCGTTGAAATTCTTCAACGGACTGTCATACGGTGAAAATTTACGTTGTGGAACCTCGGCCCCTCGCGTATTCTAGTGTGGTTGTCAGCATCAAACTCTCATCAGTTGATACAAGGGCTATCGCACATCCAAAAGCCCAACTTGAACATTCTCCTTGGGCGGCTCAACATCCACTTTCTGGACCTTTGCAGTTAGCGGCTCACCAGCTTGGTTCGTCTGATCCACTGTGGGCATGGAAGCCTCACTAGGTTCTATCGGAACGGGAGGAGGTGGGCTGAAAGGGGGCGAATAGACGGAGTTAGCAGGGCTTGCGGTCGTTTCGGGCTCTGGAGGTTCGTATCCATCTGAACTCGAAGAATCGCTGGAATCATCTTCGTTCATTTCTTCGTCCGATTCAGAACCCACGCTGCTTCGATCGTCCGTGTTTGCGACTGGAGAGTCTTCGGCCGGCGAATGGTGAGGGTTGGCGCTCGGTAAATTTGCCTCTTGGTCATGGGGCTCGCTAACCGCATTTACAACAGGTTCCGAGGCACGTTCTGGGCCCTCGGATTCATCTTCGTCGATAGACATCGAATCTTCGCTGTCACTATCCGAAGACTCATCCATAGCGGATCCTTCTGACTCAGATGAAGACATAGCAGACGATTCGTGGTTGGAATCGACTCTATTTTGCGTTTTAACTGGTGCTTCTGACACTTCATTGGACGCTGAACGAGTCGACAGAGCTTGGTCAGGCTTATCAGATAATTGATCGACGCTGCTCTCTCCGTGGTTGGAATCTCCAACAGTGGTGGTTTCGACAGCTGGCAGGTCATTTGCATCGGATGTGGTTGGCGGAACTAAAAGGAATAAAATGAGCACAGATCAGATGCACTTCCGGATGCGTCACCAGGAAGTGTTGCGTATAAGAAAAGCCTACCCTCAACGGTGATTTTGTTCTCTTGATTGGCTTTCAGTCTGACCAAGGCCGCATCGACCTCGTCCATCGTGAGACCATTCAATTCCAGGTTGATGTTGTCCAATTCTTCCTGGAGCTGCTTGCGCCCTTCTTTACCCCTCGAAATCTCGAGCAAAACTTTTCCTTCCTCAGTTTTCATATCTGCTAGTCTATTTTCGGATTTCTGGATTTCAGCATCCAGTGCGGGGACGCCGGACTCGATCTCCCTTTTTCGTAAAATTCTGCATCTCATGGTTTCAAAGTATGCGATATCCGCGGGAGGTGAAGAAATTTGTCTGGGAGAATGTCCGTTCTGGGCGGTAGGGGGACCGACAAGCCCCGCCTCCAGGTTTGCAGAATCAATATTGCAGGTCTCGGTGTCGAATGCAACAGAGGGCTCGGGAGGCGTTGATACCGCTAGCTCTACTGAACGAGGAGATTGGGTACGGCTAACGGTAAGTTTTGCCTTCTTCCGTTGCTCAAGCTCGGCAATACGTCGATGCATCGCCTGTATCTCCAGGTTTTTTCTTCGCAGATGATCCTGGTCGCTGCCCCTTGAATTCGGTTGAGGGGTGGAAAACGCTTGGCTGGATAATGGCCTAGATGGGAGGGATTCTAAAACTCGCAATGACGTTTCCGGGATTGTTGAGCCATTATCCCGGGAAACGTATCCGGTGGAAGTTTCAATATCCATGCTGTCCTCGTCGTCCTCGTTGTCATCATAAAACTCATCGTCGCTAATATCGATGATGAGCCTTTCTTCTGGAGCAGCTTGATGCACTCCATTGGCGATGTAGATAGGTTCATCAAAGTCAGATGCACGGGGGCGTTTACGCTGATTTGCGCGAAGCTGTGGTGTGGAATCGATCACAAGACCTTGAACAGGAGTCACATACGCATCTTGCGATTGATCTTCTTTTGAATCAGTCATGAACAGTCCAGGGATACGAGCGGAGCTATCAGTTTCAGGATCTGGAGGTCGCTCGGGGAGAGAGTGCTGAAGTGCAGCGGCCTCATCGACGGTATCTGAACTTTGACTTTCACCATTTGAACGTCCGTTGTCTTGCGATTTTGGATCCGATTGGGACTTTTGTTGATTTCTCATTAGGCCCTGTTTCTTGAGCTGCTCAATCCGCTGCCTAGCGAGCTCCGTCTGCGCCTTGTTCTTCTCTTTCGCCCGTACCTCTTTTTCTTTCGGCGCTTCTGGCGATGCTGCATCTGTATATGGTTCGCGTCCTTGGTTGGGGGTTTCCTTCGGTTCGTCGGCTTGAGGGGACTCAGAAGCCCCGGAAGCTTTGGCGGCCTTTGCAGCAAGCATACGCGCAATTACTTCTTTTCTTTCCATGGGCTTGGCTGAGTCCTTCAATGGCGCTGGAGTGAAGGAGGCGGGTGGCGTGACGTTCTGTCCAGACGTAAGAATATGCGCAGAAGCTTTCTCAGATTCTTCCCCCTGCGCCTCTCGACCAGTGTTTTCCGGCATGATAGATCTCATAGTCGGAACAGCGTCTGGTTGGGGTGAAGATATTTTGATCCCAACGTCTTCGTAAAGCCGTTTGAGAATATTTGGGTTGATTCCTTCTCCAATGAGCTCATTGTAGCGGATATTATGAGGAGCTAATCCCAGCAGGGCACCTTGCGCCTGGATTCGGAGTTGTGCTGGCGACTTGGAAGGGTGTTTCTCGTTTGAAGCTTCGGTAGTCGATTTAGGCGCGATTGCGGGCTCGACGTCCATTCCGTCCAATGCTTCGATATTCATGGAAACTGGAGGGTTATAAGCTGCATAGTGTGAGTAAAAAATGTCGATTTGACAGTCAAAAGGGGGACCTTACGCGATCCACTGTCTCGGCTTGACGTGGAAGACTGTGAAGAGGACGTCTCGCCCTCCTCCAGATCCATAGAGTCGCGAGAAGTTGGTTTGTGCGATGATTTAGAAGCAATGTCTTTGGGATGATTGGATCCAGGGAGCGCCACTCCGTTGGTCGCTGGTATTTCGGACGCGTGAGTGGGTCGACCGCCTTGAGATGTTGTCGGAGCGCTCGGGCCACTGTTTGACACGGGTTTCCGCACTGCTGGCAAGCCACCCTCCTTATCGGTGAGTTCACCTTCCTCCCGATCAACATCTTGTATAGAGCTGGATGCGGTTGCGTGCTGAGAGTTGAAATGATTTGTTTGGAAGTCACTGGTTGAGGGACGGCTTGGCGGCGCGTTGAACGCGGTTGGTAGAGGCATGGGCGGGTATCCCAACGGGGGCATCTGACCGGGAGGAAAGGCAGTATGTGGAAACTGCGGAGGTGTGAAGGTCCCCATGAAAGGAAATGGAGGCGTTGGCAAGGGTCCAGCCGCTGCGCCGAGTCCTGGGAGACGCCCATTCGCATTGAAATTCATCTCATTGTTGTAGTCGTATGAACGGCCCATGGCGCCCTGAGGGTGCTGATGTAGGGGCAGCATATTCTGATGAAACGAGGGATTAGGCGATAATAAAGACGGAAAGGCGGATGACTGAGGATTTGATGAAGGCCATTGCGGATAGTTGGAGGGTAGCCCCGATGGCGGAGCTGAGGGATAGTCGGACATGATCGGAGGAAGAATCACACTAATCTGAAGATTTCGGACTAGTTCTAATTAACGTAAGTAAAGGACAGCTCGCGAAAGGTGTTCTCAGTGTAGGTGCCGCACATCAATCAAGCTAGAATAGTGATGGAACTGCTGGAACTGAAGCTGAAGCTGAACCGGCGCTTTGAAAAATAAAATCAAAAGATCCACATAAGCAGACTATACAGATTGATTAGGGATGGCGTTCCATGAAACAAAGGGAAGGAAGGGGGTGACGAAAAGCTGAGGATGGGACGAGACAAAGGGCGGAGGATAAAAATATCAGGAGTGATGGAAGTGCATAATTCGAAAACTGGACGGAGACCCGTGCGGTCAGGCCACGTGATGTGGGTGCTCCCAGATCGGGACTAGGGTCTGATCGGCATCCGCAGCCTAAGGAACGCAGGATGTAAACAAACAGTGGATGCGGGTATGTCACCGAGCAGGTGGTCGGTTCTGTCGCAAGCTTCCCCAGTTACGTCTGCATCCCACCCCATCCATCTCTAGGATTGTTCTTTTGTGTATGACCAGTCCAATTCACCATCCCACCCTCTACAACCACTCCCCCCCCCACTGATATGATTTGTCTTATCCAGTTCTAATGACTTGACTCCCATTTGAATAATGTTTCGCCTGTATTAACGAAGATATGCTGCCCTCACAACTAAATGGCTCGCCAAAGCGTGCCAACCCATTTGGCCGTGCCTCTCCCTCCTCATCTCCATCGTCTGGGTCGCCAACGAAAGGCCCGCGACCGAAATCAGCCATCGTGACGTCGCCGAGTAAATTCGAAGAAGCCAAAGGTCATTTTCGGAATTCAGCCTCGGTCTCTCAAGCACCGCAAACTGCTTTAGCACGAAACTCCAACCACCAAAGATCAAATTCGTTAAGGGTCGACGCCGGTACTGGAACCTTTGCACCGGAGTTCATCAAATCCGAGGAGCTTCGGCGAGGTGCAGATCAAATTCGAGGATTGGAAGGCGACAATGACTTCTCGGGTAATAAATATGTCTGGCTACGCGATCCTGAAAAGGCCTTTGTCCGGGGACTGGTGTTGGAGGAGGGCGAAGATGGAAAGCTGTTGGTACAAAGTGATGATGGCGAGGTATGAACCGACAGTCTTGGGATTGTAGACGTCTCTAACAACCAAAAAGCAGAGGGAGGTCGATGCAGACCAAGTTGACAAAGTCAACCCGGCAAAGTTCGACAAGGCCGATGATATGGCTGAGCTTACGCACCTGAATGAAGCCTCCGTGGTGCACAATCTGCATTCCCGCTACCAAGCGGACTTGATCTATGTAAGCCTAGGAATTAAACAAGCTGTGAGTTTGACTAACAATCATGCGTCTAGACATACTCTGGGCTGTTCTTAGTGACTGTCAATCCCTACTGTCCGTTACCAATCTACTCGAACGAGTATGTGAAGATGTACAAAGGCCGAAGCAGAGAGGAAACACGACCCCATATTTTCGCAATGGCCGATAAAGCATTTCGGAATTTGGTCGAAGAGGGCCAGAATCAGAGTATCCTAGTGACGTAAGTTGCGCTCCAACCACCAGGAAAATAGATCTAACGTATCACAGAGGAGAATCTGGTGCAGGGAAAACGGAGAACACGAAGAAGGTCATCCAATACCTCGCTGCTGTTGCGACGTCCGACACTCCATACGTTCGATCTGCGACCAAAAATATGTCCACTCTCTCACAGCAAATCCTACGAGCAAACCCCATCCTGGAGGCATTCGGAAATGCTCAGACGGTTAGAAACAACAATTCGTCTCGATTTGGAAAGTTCATACGGATTGAGTTCTCCCGGTCTGGTCAAATTTCGGGGGCATATATCGACTGGTACCTCCTTGAAAAGTCGCGAGTAGTGAAACCGAATCAGCAAGAGCGGAATTACCATGTCTTTTACCAATTGCTGCGAGGTGCGGATTCCAAATTGAGGGACAAGCTACAGTTGTCCAATCTTGGAATTGAAGATTTCGCCTACACGAGGGACGGGAATGACAGCATTGCCGGAGTGTCCGACGAAGATGAGTGGAACTCATTGATTGAGGCATTCCACGTCATGAAATTTTCCGCAGAAGACCAAATGTGTATTCTCCGTACCATCGCCGCCGTTCTGCATCTTGGAAATATAACAGTCATCAAGGAGAGCTTGCGGGCGGATCAAGCTGCCTTGAGTCGTGACTCCTTCAAGAGTATAGAAAAGGCCTGTCAACTATTGGGGATACAGTCAGAACCATTCGTGAAGGGCTTGTTGCATCCCAGGGTGAAGGCAGGTCGCGAGTGGGTGGAGAAAGTCCAAACACCGGAGCAGGTTAGGCTGGCGCTCGATGCGCTCGCCAAAGGAATCTACGAGCGTGGCTTCGGTGATCTCGTAAACCGAATCAACGATCAGTTAGATCGCAGCACTGTCTCGGGAGAAGACAGCCATTTCATTGGTGTTCTCGATATTGCAGGTTTTGAAATCTTCGAGAAAAACAGTTTCGAACAATTGTGCATCAACTACACCAACGAAAAGCTACAACAATTCTTCAACCACCACATGTTTGTGCTCGAGCAGGAGGAATACGCCAGAGAACAAATTGAATGGCAATTTATTGACTTTGGAAAGGACTTGCAACCGACCATTGACCTGATTGAGTTGACAAATCCCATTGGTATCTTTTCTTGCTTGGATGAAGACTGTGTGATGCCCAAAGCGACGGACAAGTCATTTACAGAGAAGCTTCACTCGCTCTGGGATCGAAAGTCTCCGAAATATCGTGCAGCTCGCCTAAGCCAAGGTTTCGTTCTTACTCACTATGCTTCCGAAGTGGAATATGATACTGAAGGATGGCTTGAGAAGAATAAAGACCCCCTCAACGATAACATAACTCGCCTTCTGGCCGCGTCACGAGAGAAGCATATCACAAAGCTATTTGCGGATTGCAAAATTTCTGATGGCCATACGGATTATCCCAAAAGTCGAGTGAAGAAGGGCTTGTTCCGTACAGTCGCCCAGGGACACAAGGAGCGCCTGTCAAGCCTGATGACTCAGTTGAATTCAACGCATCCTCACTTTGTGCGCTGCATTATACCAAACCATAAAAAACGCCCGAAGATGCTCAATGCTCCCTTGGTTCTTGATCAACTGCGATGTAACGGTGTTCTAGAAGGAATTCGAATTGCGCGCACTGGTTTCCCTAATAGGTTGTCATTTGCTGAGTTTCGTCAACGGTATGAGGTTCTCTGCCGCAACATGCCAAAGGGCTACCTGGACGGCCAGAACGCTGCTCATATAATGCTACAAAAGCTCGGGCTAGACGCTGCGTGGTACCGAGTCGGTCGAACAAAGGTCTTCTTCAGAGCTGGCGTTCTTGCTGAGCTGGAGGAGAAGCGAGACGACCTCATTCGCTCCATAATGACCCGTTTTCAGTCGCTGTCCAGGGGCTTTGTTCAGCGCCGAATCTCAAACAAGCGTCTTTACCGTGCGGAGGCAACCAGACTTATCCAACACAACTTTAGGGCTTACCTTGATCTGAAAGCTAGCCCCTGGTGGCGTTTGTTCTCGAGAATGAAGCCGCTCCTTGGAGAGACACGGTCCGCCAACGAAGTCAAACGGCGCGATGAAAAAATCCAGCTATTGGAGTCCAAGATGAAGACGGACTTGGCCGACCGCCAGAAACTAGACGAGGAGAGACGACGCACGGAGATCGAGATGCAAAAAATCCAACAAACCCTGGAAAGCGAAAGAGCTCTCGCGCTGGATAAAGAGGAAATTTTCGAGAGGCTTCAACTTCGAGAAGTAGAGCTCAGTGATAAATTGGCCGGGGCGATTGCAGACCAAGAAAGTCTCGAGGATCAATTGGACGAACTCATCGCAGCGAAGAAGAAAATCGAAGAGGAGCTTCAATTCCGCATGACTCAACTGGAGCAGGCCGGCGAAATTATACAACGTTTCGAGAATGAGAAGCGAGAGACGCAGGCACGTCTCGAGGAACTTGATCGCAGGATGATGGAAGCCGAGACGTCCTCCTCTGAAAAGGAAAACCAGATCAAAGAACTTGGACAGGAAACCAAAATGCTTCAAAGTCACCTCACCATGAAAGATCGCAAGCTGCAAGATCTGGAGGCCAAACTACTGAAGACTGACCAGGATCTCGATATTAAACTCGCCAAGACAGCCAAGGAACTCGATCAGTCAAAGCACCAAGTCAAGGATTTGGTGGAAGAGAATCGCTCGATTAGGCAGCAGATCTCAGATCTTTCGTCAACATCTACCGGATATGAAGAGATGCTGAGGAAGAAGGAAAGCGAGATAGCAATTCTGCGTAACGATGCCAAAAGGGCTGACGAAGAGAAAAGACAGCTGGAAACAGAAAAAGCATCCCTCTCCACGCGTCATAGCAACATGCAAAAACGCTTGCGGGAACTTCAGGCTGAATCTGATGCCATGATGGTTGAAAAGGCCCAGTTGGACCGAGAAGTAGCCGACGTGAAAAAGTTGCTCGAAGACAAGATCTCCGAGGACGCTGAAGCGGGAGAAAGCCGAAAGCTTCTTGAGCAGCAAATTCAGGACCTTAAAAGCCAACTTTTCCAGGCACAAGCGGACTTGAGCAGAGAGCGACAATCAAGAGACGATGTCCAAATGCTTGCAGAGCACAACCTTGCGGAATTACGCGACAAGTACACCTCCTTGAACGACTCTAAAATTGAAATCGAGAAGGAGATGTATATACAGCAGGACACTCTTCGCCGTGCTACTGAGGCCCGAGTTGCTGCCGAAAGTTCACGCAAGGACCTGCAGACAGAGCTCATTAAGCTTCGCGATCGCTTCACTAATGTTGAAAATGCCCGTCTGAATGCAGAGGCTGAAATTGAACGCAACATCAACAACCAGGCGAACCAGAGGCTGGAAAGCGTTCGAAAAGACTTGGAAGCGAAGTCTCAGCAATTGGAGGAGATCGAAGCCGAAAGAACACGGCTTTCCACCAGAATTCAGGAGCTAGAAAATGCAATCGCAGACTCTGACAACTTCCGAATCCGCCATGACCAACAGAAGCAGCGCATGGAAAGAGAACTGGTGACCCTCAAAGGCAGACTCACGGCCTCCGAAAATGACAATCGAGCTCTATTGACAAAGATTCAACAAAAGAATCTCGACATTGCCAGATCCAACTCCAAAGCGAGCGACAACCAACGCCACCGCGTAACCACGTTACAGAGGGAAAAGGCCAAGCTAGAGGATGACAACAAGAACCTAGCCCGTCAGTTAGGAGACCTCCAACTATCTATTACTTCTCTCGAAAAACAAAAGGAGAAGCTCTCGTTGAGTCTCGAGGACTTGAACCATGAAGTTAATAGAGAGCACAAAGCCAGTCGTAATGCTGAAAAGACGGCATCCACAGCTGGTATACAACTGGCAGAAGCGAACAGAAACCTGGAGACTGAACGTCAGCTGCGTACTCAAGCTCAGGCAAATACTCGCAAGATGCAGGGCTCTCTGGACACTGCTAACAAAGAAATCGAGGACCTGCATCGCCAACTGATGCTGCTGCATAAGGTTGTCGAGCCTACATCAGAGGAATCTGAGTCATGGGAGACCATTCGTCCTGATTTATCGAAGAAGGTGGATCTTGCACAGCGACTGGACACTGTGCAAAGCCAATTGCAGGTATCAGAGGAGAGGAATAACAGAGCGGAAGCCCAGCTTGCCGAAATGCGCCGGCGTCATGGTGATGAAATGAAAGAACTTGATGCCCGTTATTCCTCCTCCAAGCGTGCGCTTCTGGAGGAAATTGACCAAAACCAAGTTGCTGGAAACCGCACGCCCACTCACCTACGCAAGAACTCTGACATCGCAAAGAGATTCGGTACCCCGACAACACCAAACCGAAGACTCAATTTTGAGGCAGCGAATGACTCCGCCCGGTCCGATAAGACAGTGGATTCTGTCGGCTACCAGAAACGAATGGACCTGGCAGCCGAGATTGAAGAGTTGCAGAATAAGCTTCAGATGACTGAGATGCAAAACAAGCACCTTCAAAGTCAGTTGCAGGGAGGTTCGCGTCAAGACCAATGGCAAGATGAAAGCCCCTCGGTTCGTCGGATGCAACTCTTGGAACGAGAGAATGGTCGACTGCACGACCAACTCGATGACTCTGCGAAGAAGGTTTCGGCGCTCGAGCGAAGCATTAGATCTGGGGACCTGTCACTTCGGGATGTGCAAGCTAAGTCGCATGAGGAGCTTTATGACCTGATCAATTCTCAAGAACAATCCAGAAGGTCTCTGCTCAAGGTCCACAACGAAGCGGTTGCCGAGTTCAGCGATGCTAAAGCTCAGTTCGAAAAGCTCAAACGCGCCAAGGCTGCTACCGAAGTCGAGCTCCGTGATTCTCGCTCCGAAGCCCAGGAACTTCAGTTAGCCAGAGATCAAGATGCTGTCAGCAGAAACCAGCTGCTCCAGGAGTTCTCCGACCTACAGATTCGCCTGGATGCAGAGTCCTCAAAATGCGCTGACCTCGCCTCAAGTCAAAGCCTCTACAAAACCCGCGCGGATGACTATTTCAGCAAGCTGGAGCAAGCAGAAATTTCGGTACTTAAGGCCAGCCGTGCCGAGCAGTTTGCAAAGTCACGGGCCCAAGAGGCAGAGGATACATGCGCACAAATCATGGCTGAGCGTAAGCAAATGGATTCTCTTGTGGAAGACCTTCAGCGCCAAGCGCAGTCTCTGGAGGCCCGAATGGAAGACCAGGCCGCCGAGCTTCAGGCTGCGCTGCAGTCCAAACAGCGTCTCCAGAATGAGCTCGAGGACTACAGGAACCAACGTGCCATCGATATCGAAGACAAGGAGACCTCCATGGAGCAGACGAGACAAAAATACCAGCGCGAGTTCTTGACATTGAATAACGAGCTCGAGGTGGAACGGGAGCGTGTCCTGAACGTCCGTGGGGAGAACTCGCGTCTTCGCGAAGAACTCGAGGATCTCCGCAGTAAATGGGATAACGAAGTGATGAACAGCTCTACGTGGGCCAAGGAGAAGGCGCGGATGGATGTCATGCTTCAGGATGTGACCTCAATCCGTGATGAAGCGGTGAACGCGCATAATGAAGCCCAGGGAAGAGTTGTAACTCTTCTGTCGCAGGTCAGAAGCCTACGAACTTCAGTTGATGACGTGACGGCCGAAAGAGACATGCTTGTCAAGGAGAAGAAGATGCTTGAAACTCGTTTGACTGAGGCAGGCGACAGACTAGAGGACCTTGCCAAGGGAGAGAGTCCATCCATGCGCAATGCAGCAAGCATGGATCGCGAACTTTTGGAGCTCAAATCCAATCTTGCTCAGCAACAGGACGTCTCTGCTGCCGCTGTCGGTAAGATGAGACGAGCCGAAGCCTTGGCCACGGAGATGCAGAAGGAAGTCACCGCTGAGCGGGAAACCAACGCTCAGCTTTTCAAGGATAAGGCTGCTCTGGAGAAACAACTCAAGGAAGCTCAGCTGCGGTGCGTTGATCTGGAAACTAAGAGCTACTCATCCGGAAGCCAGGACGTCAAGTTCCTACATAAAAGAATCAAGGAGGTAAGTTAGAGTCCCTGTATCTTGAGGCAATAGACTGACATCTGCAGCTGGAAACGCATCTCGAGGAGCAAGAGACCAAGCATGGCTCCGAGCAACGATCCCTGCGTAACGTCGACCGCACTGTGAAGGACCTCCAGTCGCAAATAGATCGACGGGAGAAGATGAATGCTCAGCTCAACGAGGACATGAACAAGTCTCGCGACAAGATCGACCGTCTTCTTCGAAACATCCAAGAACTTCAGGAAACCGACTCACAAACCCAATTACAGGCGCGCCGAGCGGAGCGGGAGCTTCGTGAAGAAAAGGAAAAATCGCTGCGCCTGGCGCGTGAGTTGGAAGGATGGAAAGGGCTTCGCGTTGAGCGCGGCAGCAATCTCGGACGACTGAGCGATGCAGGGAGCAGAAGAGGAAGCGGCGTATATGGCTCAGGCGATGTGCCACAGCGGATGCCTAGCAACACGAAAGGCTTCTTGTAAGGAACACGATAATCTAGCAGGACGGTCCTGCTCAACACAACCGCATTCAATAATTCAGGCGCTAAACATTTATCCAGGGCCTGAGCGACGGATTACGAGCATGACTTTGATGGCGACTCTGCATATTCAAGGACTTATGCAGCAACTAACGTGATGTTGACTGTTTTTCCCATTTTCTACGTGTATATGCCCGCATTGGTTATGACGATCTATATGCATTCAATTTCCTTTCTTACTGGTATAATGTTTGGGTGGGATGAGACAGACATTTGTTTTGGGCTGTACTATGGAATGACATTCAGCAGTTCGAAATACGGACTTGCTTCTAATGTTAATTTTCATGATTGTTTTGTTTTAGTTAGTTCATTCTGTTTCTAGATATATAGTTTGTTGAGAGCTTTAATCGATACCAGAAGTTACAGCCAGAAGTCACAAGACTATTCCTGATATTTCAGCCACAGTCGTCACAGTTACATCCGTTAACTAAATGTGACCGCTAATGCTCTCAATTGCAATAACAACCAAATCCCAGGGCTCAGACGAAAGGAAAACCTGCAGTGCAAAAGCCGCCTCCGTCGGGCATCGGATAAACTAGCCGCGCGCTTAAGATTAGCGCCCGCCACGAACGTTTCTTGAACCCACCCGAGCTTGGATCAAGTTCACTGCCGGCCATGAGGTAGCGTTCTTCACCCATCTTTCTCTCACATATTGCCCTTACGGATTCAAGGCTCTCGCGCCGCCCCTCATCATGGTAAGTTCACTTCCATATCGGCGCAGAAACCGACCTTTGCCGCCCAATGTCTCGAAAATTCCGACCGAGTTCATGAACTGATCCCGAATGTCCATCAGGCACGAAACAGCGAAAAGGCGCAGTCGATGCTGTTTCGATTTCGCGCGCAGCAAGCGGCGGACCTCGGAATCATCGACATCGGACGCACCCGTCGCCCCAAGGCCATCACGTCGGTGGATTCGATCCCCATGTGCGAGAAATGGCGCGGCCAGGTCCTCAAGGAAATCTCGCGCAAAGTCTCGCGCATCCAGGAGCTCAGCCTGAGCGATTACCAGATCCGCGACCTGAACGATGAGATCAACAAGTTGATGCGCGAGAAATGGACCTGGGAGATGCAGATACGGAACCTCGGCGGACCTAATTACATGCGTGGCTCGGGCCGTGTGTACGACGACGAGGGCAAGGAGATTCCTGGCGGTGGAAAAGGATATCGATACTTCGGGCGTGCGAGAGAGCTGCCGGGTGTCAAGGAGATGTTTGAGGCCGCAGCTCGTCGCGGTCGGAAGCCGGCGGAGGAGGACGACGAGGGCACTCGGGGACGGGGCGGGGATATCGCTACGAAAAAGGTCGATGCCAATTATTTCGGCTACGGGCTGGATGAGGAGGACGGGACGCTGCTAGCGTACGAGCGACAGAAGGAGAAGGAGGCTTTTGAGAGTCTACGCAATAAGAAGGAAGACGATGTTGAAGATGGCTGGGAGCCTCTACCGGGTGACGCTGGTGACGGCGTCGAATGGCGATTGCCGACCCTGGATGAAGTACAAGAAGAACTGGTGGACAGGAGAAGGAGAAGACTCTTGGACAAGATCACCTGAGCCTGCCCCCTATGCGCTTGCTTTTCTTTTTATCTGATTTTTCTTTCTTCAAAATTCTTTCCATAAGGCGTTCGGGGTGTACGTTTTTTGCACTGCTATTTCCCGGTTCTATGTTATATTTTTAACTTGTCGTTGAAACCATGCATTTGGAGCAAAACAGCTCACTGACGATACCAACACGATTCGTTCTTTTGTACTGTACATTGGATGATATTATCTAAAGTTATTATTTACAGCTTCGAACTATCCCGTTTCTTCGCCGTCCTTTCGGCCCTTAAGATCGAGGAGATACTGCGACCCACTTCTTCTTTGTTTCCCTCCAAACGACTTCTCTCTTCAGCTTGTAAATCGTCGAGAAGGAAGCGCCCCAAATTGCCCGCGCGCCATTTCTGGATAAAGTGCTGCGCCGCAAGGTCAATGTTGGGAATGCCACCTTTGGCAAGAAGACCCGTGTGTTGAGCAAAGCTCTCCAGCAGGGGCATGATCTCATTCGTTGGCGCGGACCAACGTTGATATACGTCGGGATCGTGCAGATTTATATGATATAATAGATAGTCGGTGAGAGTGACGGGTGAAATGACAGAATCCTTGACGCAGCCACAGAGCGCTAGTTTCAGCATGTTGTCTGCATCCGGCACGTAGGGCATGAACACACCCGGCGTGTCCAGCACGTAGACGTGGGAGCCATTTTCTCTCTCTATAACCTTCACTGGCGTTCCAATCTTCCGTGTTATACCCGGCTGACCGCCCGTTTGTACAGCTTTGGCTTTGCCGACGCCTTGGTTTCGCAAGTTGTTGATCAAAGTCGATTTTCCGACATTGGGCATACCAACAACCATTACACGACAGCCGACAAGTCGGTCTGGCCCCTCTGCATCTTCTCGCAAATGTTTTAGGATGGAACTCACATCTGGACGAGATGACGAGCTAACGAAAAATGTGGCGCTGTTTTTATCGAAGCCTCGAACGGTTTTCTCCGCCTAATGTAGAGAATACAAGTGAGCAATAGTTCTCGAAAGAATTGAAGCTAGGAAGACTCACAGATCGCTGCGCACTTGACCCGGGCTTCGCGCCCAAGTCCCTCTTGGTATAGACAATCAATCGTCTAGTTTTCCCCAACGCCTCTTCAAACATGGGATTGATAGACGTGACGGGGACTCTGTAATCGCGGCATTCAACCACATAGTCAATAGATGACAACATATTTTGCATCTTCTTCAAGCCGGCCCTGTGATGGCCCAAGTAGTACGACCTGGGAATGGACGCATAACTGGGGAAGACCTGGCGGGGAATGAAATTGGCCGCCATCACGAGGAGTCCACAGATAGGTCTATGGGTAGAAGTGGATGGAGAGATCGATTGATGACCGCCCCTCGACACATGGTCCAATGCCGACGGTAAGCTTAGGTTGAGAGGGAAAGCATGGTCTTTGTTTCGCTGATGAAGCTGCTGCTTCCACTTCTTCGCGTGGGCCCGATTTGCCGTTAATTAAAAGCGGTGAGAAAGGCGGTATTTCGGGCCGATGTTCTCCGCCTTGGGGGGGTTGTCGACAGGGTCCCTACATCCTACAAGAGCCATCTCGATGACTTGACACCGCTTGCTACTACAATATGCACAGGGTTTCTGAACCTTATCGAGATATACAAATGGCATATCAGTTCTTAAATTTTCCACATCTGCCCAGATGGGTAAGTAACTTACGAGAACACGTCTGCGAGTCCCGATCTATATATAGCCTGCTTTCATCACTCTGAATAGCGTATTCAGCAGTGCTCAACACACATGGTGTCATCAATCTGTACGGGGTACCTGCGTTGCGAGTGCTTCAAAATTGTGAGGATGATGATGATGATGATGATGATGATGATGATGATGATGATGATGATGATGATGATGCAATACCAATGCCCATCTTTTGTTTCGAACACTTCAGCTACTTCGTAGTTACCACACCTCACTACCAATTAACAATGCTTCCTCCTGCTTGGTCCCTGTTGCCCCCACCCTCTGTGATAAAACTGTGTGGCTGCATATTTACTCAAGACGCCCTGCAAGGAGCGCCCAATCTCTTGGCCCCTGATTCAATAGAACAGGCTCGGGGAACTTGTGTTCCTCTGTTTATGATGGATCGGGATTGGCTCGAATCGGCACACGGGTGGGTATTTCCAAAGATCTTCGTCGCTGCTAAGCTGATTTGGAATTGTTCTTGGGCACTCCGTATGATCTCCTACATTGCCCATCATTTTCATGGTTCGCATAATGCAGATATATCATCCCAAGAGCAGGCGTGAAGGGCGGAACCGAGTATAATGCTTTAGAGATTCCTTCAGGGGCTACAGATGCTAATGGCAAGAGAAGGGTCACCAAGATCTGATGTCGCGATGCACCAACTCGAGTGGAGAAAGCTAAAGTTCAGCTGCTGTGCTGTACCCCTGGCCCTCGCACCTGCTGGAATATCCCTTACCTCATCAGATCTTCACCTTAGGATTTTACCGCCGATTGCAGATGGTTGCCAACTTGAGAAAAGTTTAAAAGGGCCATGGATCACTACTTGAAAAATGTCCTATGATGCATTCTGGAAGAACATTCTGAATTGACAGCTCTTCAGCCAGGGTGCAAGGCTTGTTATTTTTCCGAGCTTCTGGGCGATCCTGTTTGTTCGAATAAGCCTTGGTTGACTAGTTAGTACCTTTTAAATGTGAGTCTTTTGCTGTCCAAAAGATTTTTGAAGGCGTAGCTAAACGGAGATTAAATCGCAGGCCAGCACGAAAATGAGGGATTTGAAGGTTGAAATGCCGACGACTTCTAAGATTCCCGCTTGGCGAATGATATTTGACAAGGGTGCCGTCACCCAAGAAGTCATAAACCACCAATATCCTGGTTCTGGTACTGAAGAGCACCCGTTTGAAGTTTCATGGATACCAGATGATCCCCGGAACCCTATGGGCTTCCGTGACTCTTCAAAATGGGCACTTGCGTCGCTGGTTTCACTTTCCACCTTCACAGTTGCCTTGGTCTCTTCCGGCTATTCAGGAGGCTTGGCCGAAGTCGTGGAGTACTTCCAAGTCGATGAAGAGATTGCTGTCTTGGGAATCTCGTTCTATGTTCTGGGCTTCGCACTTGGTCCTCTGGTACTGGCGCCGATGAGTGAACTTTATGGACGTCGCCCGGTATTCATCTTCAGCGCAGCAACACTGACAGCTTTTACGGCTGGAACGGCAGGCGCACAAAACATTGAGACTTTGATCATTCTTCGCTTTTTTGCAGGTAGCCTTGGATCCGCCCCTATGGCTGTTGCAGGAGGTACCCTCGCCGACACTTTTCCTGCTATCACTCGAGGGCTGGCAAGCGGACTTTATGCCACCGCGCCTTTTATGGGCCCAACGATTGGACCTATCGTGGGAGGATTTCTGGCCGCTGCCGGAGGCTGGCGGTGGGTGCAAGGCTTTTTGGCCGCCTTTTCCGGGATGCTGCTTATATTGACGACATTGTTCCTGCCTGAAACATACAGCCCGGTGCTCCTGCGAAGACGAGCAGAAAGGCTATCGAAGATCACCAGTCATGTGTACCGCAGCAAGCTTGATGTTGAGGGCAAAAGTTCCCACGCGGGCCAATTATTCAAAACAGCCCTTTCTCGACCTTTTGTCCTACTCTTTCGTGAGCCTATTGTGTTCTTGATGTCATTATACCTTGCCATTATTTATGGCACACTATATATGTTCTTCACTGCATACCCGATTGTTTTTCAGCAGACTCGCGGCTGGAGCGAGAGTAAAGGTGGACTGGCTTTCCTGGGCATCTTGGTTGGGATCTTGTTTGCATTGGTCCACACATTCGTTGCATATTTTCAGTATAAGAAAAAGACCTTGGAGGCACGTGGGCGGCGACTTCCTCCAGAGGAGCGCCTGCCTGCCAGCTTCATAGGAAGCATTGCTCTGCCAGTTGGTCTATTCTGGTTTGCCTGGACGAATTCACCTTCAACACATTGGATGGCGTCCATTGCGCCTGGAGCCCCATTCGGCTATGGGATGATTATGGTGTTCATGCCCGTTTTGAACTATCTGATTGACTCTTACACCATCTACGCCGCGTCGGTGACAGCAGCAAACTCCCTCGTACGCTCTATCTTTGGCGCTGTCTTTCCACTCTTTACCGGCTACATGTATCAACGACTGGGTATACACTGGGCCTCCTCGATCCCGGCCTTTCTCGCTTTGGCATGCGTTCCGATGCCGTTCCTGTTCTATAAGTATGGCGCTAAGATTCGAGAGCGATGCCACTATGCCGCCGAGGCCGACGCTTTCATGAACCGGCTGCTCGCTGGTACTGGCAACAACACACCGCCGAAACCCGAAACCAAAAATGAAAGCATCGAGCTGCAGGCTAGATCGTCGGTGGCTCATGGAGATAATGGTGATCGTGATGAGTCAATAGACAACCAGCCAACTGAAGCGAGTCGGGCTTCAACAGCGTATCGAACATCCTGTTACTCGAAACGACCAGGAGAATCGTCGCTGTCCAATCGCACACTAGTCCGAGATGATCCTCCTCAGATTGGCGACATTTTTAATTCGCGGTGAACATGGGGAAGGTTGTTCACTTTGTATTTCGCATTGGTTACTTTTTGGATATAATTCCTTTCATGTCTATAGATCCCTTAGATTTAGTCTTACTTTACATACGTACTTGATTTTCTAGTCCGGTTGAAAGCTTTCCCTTTCCGTTTTAGTGCTCACCCCTCGCCGCTTTTTGCTCACTGAGTAGACCTGAGCACGCCCTGAGCGGCCTGAGGCGACGACTGAGCACGGGGTGAGCAGAAGACTGAGTGCCCTGAGCGAGCAACCTCAATAAACTGCACCCTAACTAGCGGTCTTCCCCTTGCCTATTTCTCTACTTCTATGTGACAACCATCGCTAGAAGCCTGAGCGAGCTACAGCGTTATTGCCTGAACTCTCAGGCAGAAACTGGCGCAACGGCTGACTAAGCTATGTAAACAAAACTTCTTCGTCTACTGTAATTAGTGTTGTTTCTTCCTCACGCTTAGAATTCAACATAATTCTCGCCTACGAGCTTGCTACGTAGTTGGAGAAGGGTTGTAACATTCTAGTCCACTTTCGCCCGCTACATTCCCCCAAAACCAAGCACTGCCATCACGAAAATGACGAATAAGTGAAGCTATTATTCCTTCTGATACCCACAGCCTTTTTTTCAGTAGGGAAATGTTGTAGTTACCGCGCTGCACTAACATGACAAACATTTTTGTAGGTTTTCTCCATCAAAAGACAGCACAAGCCTAGATGTTCATGGGAGCAGCCCAGGATATCCCTAGAGTCAAGAAATCCTCGGAATACCAAATAGTGCTAGTCTAGTATAGACATTTTCTGAATTTCGATCCTAAATGCCTACTAGGTAGAATGACATTTTTACCTCCTGAAGCCAGGGAGTTTCCCTGTACGGAGGAACTTTCCGGGGGAACGTTCCGGTTAGTTAGTATAGGATCAAGCGATTCTCCGCGGTAGGCATCCAGGAACATTCCTAGGTATCCTGCAGGCATTCCTGCCTGAGGCAAAGCCCCAGGCAGTATATAGTGTCCCTGGATTCTCCCTCCTAGATAGCCTTTCCTCCCTATGGGAAAACTCTTTGACTACGAGTCATAAACAAATTTGTCTTTTACTAAGCTCCTTTGTAGACCGTCACATAATTTTCCTATCGCCTTTTTTTCTTTTCACTCCAAGCAGATACACTAAAGGCATATCACTGAACAGTCAGTAGGTATAAAGCCCTATGATCCGTTTGAAGTCTTTTCCCGTGAGGCAATTACACGACAACCAAGTTGCACCAAGACCAGAACGAACCAGAATGAACCCGAGAACCCGCTCTTCGCACCGTGCCTTTGTGCGCCAGGGCGAGCCCCAGAACGACCCCCAGGACCTTCAGGACGACCAGTCCTCCGATGTTCAGCCAGAGCAGGAACATGATGAAGGTTTCCTTGATAAAGAGGAGCTGTTCTATGATTCGGAGCAGGTGACCGACAATACCGATATCAATCGAATCCCTATGACCAAAGAATGGTTCCTAGAGGAGATCAAGAAGAACCCGGAAGTAGTCTACGAGGTCATAAGAGATATGCATGAGCTCGAGATCAAAGAAACGAATCGCGCCCAGAAAACTATCCGCATACTTCAGAACGATATCGCCGAATTGACTGCTGAGCGTAACGCTATCGCGGTAAAATGGGCCCTCTCTAGGGACCGAACTGATACCTCTGATAGCTACCGATCTACCAAAATCCCTGACCCGCCAATGTTTAACAACGGCGAAGACCCGATCTTCGAGAACTGGCAGTTAGCGATCAACTAGAAGCTGACTGCTAACGCTGACCACTATCCTACCGCTACACTTCGTATCGCTTATGTGACTAGCCGCTGCGAAGGGGATGCGCGTCGGCATATATCCCCGCGTCTCAAGATTCAGGACTATCGTGACTTTGGTGAGATCCTGAGTCATTTGAAAAGCATCTTCGTGGACCCGAATAAGGCCCGCAATGCTCGCCGGAAGTTTAACTCCATCAAGATGGCTGTCTTTAAGGACTACCATACCTTCGCCTCAGAGTTCCAGTACCTTGCAGTCGAAGGCCGGATTGATCGTGATACCTGGAAAGAGAGCTTCTTCTTCTTCGCCCTTCCTAATGAAGTGCAGCGAATGGTGGCTTACGTTTTCAATAATGACAACCGAACCTTTAAGGACTTTACTCACGAATGTGCCAAGGTGGCTGACCTCTGGGCCGACTTAAAGAAGCGCCGAAACAACCAGAATGCGGCTAGAGGCGGCTCTAAATCCTCGATCCCGAATAAGGGAGCCAGCTCGCGTCCTGCTCACTATGCCAAGGGTGAAGAGAAAGAACAGTTAATGAAGGAGGGTAAGTGCTTTATCTGCAAGCAGCTCGGCCACCTTGCTAGCGACTGTAGGATGTCCAGTAGGTTCAAGGAAGGAAATAAGAATATCGTGTAGGTAGTAGACCATTTCCGCTACCGGAAGTCAACCAAAATCCACGGCTTCTGAAAGACACGTGAGGCCATCCATGCATTTGGAGAAGATCATCACTCGAAGGATGCATATCCTGATTCGATAACCCCATGATCCCTACCAGTTATCTGACACGAGCCTTGTCCCGCTCGAGCTGATGTGCCAGTTCAGCCCCACCTCCAGTTGTCTCTCTCGATCTCACGACTAACTCAGGCATCCAAGACAGTACACATTTCCAAATAAACTACACCTCCCATCAGAAAAGAATGTCCCGCGAACAGTACGTCTCCACCGACAGTCCCGTCCTAGAATCCTACAAGTTTATCGGCTACGAAACAATCATGAACTCCAAAGTCGACCTGATCACCAACAAGATGGACGGCTACACAGCCGGCCTCTACGTCACCGGTATCCGCGGGACGTGTGACTGGTACCATGATAAAATCTTCTGCAGCTACGAGGAGTGCGATCCATCCGGGAAGTGGGACTTCAATCGTGCAGTCTGGTCGATCCGGTACGACAATAACGTCGATCGGAAAAAGCAGCCCGAGTTCGGGTTTCATGTGAACACAATGAAAGAAGTGAAACGCATGTACGGCGACGACAGTGGACAGACGACGGAGTACCAGGTGAAAGCGTTCTATAATCCGGAGCTGGAGGTGTCGACGTCGGAGTCGACGGCGCGCTACCTCTCTGCGCGAAACGATTTGACCAACTATACGGGATGGGATCAGAACCAGGACATGGATCTGGAGATAAAACGGGTTTATTGTGCAGAAATGGTGCGGAATCTGTGGACGGATTCATACAGGCAACAGCGGGGAGTTCCCGCTACCTTCAGTGCGAATACCGGAGATTTCCTGCTCCCATCCCAAGATGACATCCTTTATCGCGAAACAACTGAAGGATTCCACTAGCGAGTGAGTGTATCGAGTTCGCCGCCTTTTCAGCATCAACATGGCCTTCCTGCATGTATTCTAGAATATCATCTTGACCAGAATGAATTGAACCGCGGGAACCAGAATACTGAATCTTACCCGAGAGTTTCTACAGAATCACTTCTGTACCAGAGTCCAGACCCGATATCCCTGATCAACATGGTCTGGATCTCCGTAGAGATCACAGATTCTCCATTCAGACGATACATTCTACATCGCGGACCCCTACACAACCACATCCAAATACTCAACAACATATCCTTGGATCCGGCGCTGAAACCAGTCTCCTGGTGATATGTGCACTATCGAAGTATGCCCAATAAATCCTACCACTCCCATCCTTCCGCAACGTATACCCCTCTCGGACAATGCAGTACACGCCCACGGCAACACAGAAAACCAGGTTACATCGCGTCTTCGACTGCCAGAAAACAGCAACGATCGCCCACTCCACAGTTCTTGGCTGTTTGTGAAGAACCCCCCGTCCTGTGGGGCAATCCGGGGATTGATTGGCACGTCGATCCGGGGTTAGATGGCGATATATTAAATCGCCTCTTTTGCATCGGGCGACCCCTCAATATGTCTGGGGTAAGGTACATGTGAGTTAATCTCATGCCACCTGTCCATAGGAGAGGGATCGGAGAATTACTTGTTTGTACGAGCGGATAGACGCAAACTGACGTCGTCGTGAGACCTAGGGTAGGTCTGTTCTATAGATCCGTGTGTCGTCGGTATCAAAGCCCAAACATACCTGGCAAGAATGGCCGACACATACATATAAATTCAATGTGGAAGGACAGTTAGATAGGTGTAAGGCACGCCTTTGCGTGCGTGGAGACCTTCAAATCATGACTAGAGATAACAAGAGTGCGGTCACGCTTGCTGCAAAAACATTTCGAACCTTAATGGCCCTGACGGGTGTATACGACCTCGAAATGAGAGAGTTTGACGCCTTGAATGCCTTCGTGAATTCAGAGATAGACGAAATCGTCTATACCGATGCCCTGACGGCTTCAAAGTGCCCGGTAAAGCCCTTCAACTTCTTAAGGCGCTATACGGATTGCGCCGTGCACCTCGTCTTTGGCAGCTTCACCTAGCCGCGACGCTGAAAGCAGTAGAACTCAACCCTGTGGAACAGGAACCCTGCTTATTTACTGACGGAATTGTCATTATAATGTTCTACGTTGATGACTTTATCGTCTTGTCAAGCGCTGCAAATAAAAGGCGCGCAGATGAAGTCATTGAGTTCCTCTCATCGAAATACTTCTACGTGAGATAGAGAATGTTGACACATTTCTCCGAATCAAAATACGCAGAAATAGAGGAAAGCGAACGATTCACCTCTCGCAGTCAGTCTATTTAGACAAGATCACTACGGAATTCAACCTGAAGACGTCTCAACCGCCTAAATCGCCGCTTCCACTCTATACAGCGGGAAGGCGTCCCCTAGGCAGATACAGGAGTTCCAGGAGAAAGTGGGCTCAATCCTCTGGTCAGCGGTGATCATGAGGCCGGATGTTGCAAAATCGGCCTCTGAATTATCGAGATTTCTAGTCAATCCTGGCCCTGACCACCTCGCTGCAGCAAACCGCGTGATTCAATACTTTTTGCGTCCATTGGTGCATGATATTTGACGTTGGGTCACGATCGCAGTAATAGCCTTTTGTATTTGTACTTGCCCAATTTGTAGTCCGGTCTCATCGAATTCATACGCATTGCTTGGTCCGATATTTTCGAGCCTATGGCCAAGTAGGTTGAACCCGTGCATGGTATCGCCTAAATCTTTTGCTTCCAGATGATGCTCATCTATCGGATTTTGTTTTGTGTATGATAAACTACCAAAAAGTCGGCCGATAAAGTCAAAAACCTTGTTTTTACCTTCTCGCGTGGGTTCTGCGTCGGTCGCTGCTGTAGCAAAACGTACTGCTCTAGCTGTAACTGGAGGAGAATCTGCTAGTTCTTGTTGAGGGGGAGTAACTGGGCGAGATAGAGAAACTGTAGGGTAGCTGTCGATAGTCATATCCTCATCTTGCGAGGCCCCAGGGGTTGCAGGGGCTGCGGGAGGCCGGGAGCAACATTTACTCTCAATCCGTGCCTTAGAGAGGGTTAAGGAGCAGGTCTTACGGGTCTCAGCCTGCTGGGCCTTTGTAAAACGAGAACCTGGCTTGCTGGGCCGGAGAAGGCATTAGTCATAGTCTGCTGGGTGCGGGCCATGGCAGTGTAGGCATCTTGGGGAGCAGGTATAAGGAGCTGCAACAGCGCAGTAATTGGTATGGCCTTCCTCAGTGTATTATGTAGAGCCGCAGAAGCAGCAGCGGAGTTACGTGCGCAAAATCTGGAGTTATATTACTTCCAGCAGCGGTTGCATTGCGAGATCTTAACCTTTTTAGATAAGGGTTGGGCATTGATAATTATACTAAACAAAGGTAGTCGACTGTACAGGTAATTTGGCCTTGCTTTCTTTAGAGAAATTGATAAACCAACTTGAAGAGATTGTGTTTGCATCAGAAGCACTAGCAACAGTTTCAGTTACATTAACTGGAGTAAGGCCAGTAGCTTTAATGGCAATGACTTCTGTGGAACTAGTCATTGCTACTCGGGGAAATGTAATGACGATAATGGTGGACCAAGTATAAACGGAGAATGTGGTCCTTCATTCGCAGGAAACAAGACTTTCACTGGAACTCAGTTTGGTAAATGTTGTTCAACCTCGGGATATTGTGGAAGCACTGATAAATACTGCAGCGAGGGCAATTGCTATTCTGGTGCATGTCTGTAACTTTCCCACTGGAGTACACGAAACTTTGTCCATAATATAGAGTCACTCATATGTAACCATACGTACTTGTTTTTCTCGCCAGCTCGAAGTCTTTCCCTTTCCGTTTTAGTGCTCACCCCTCGCCGCTTTTTGCTCACTGAGTAGACCTGAGCACGCCCTGAGCGGCCTGAGGCGATCACTGAGCATGGAGTGACCGGAAGGCTGAGTGTCCTGAGTGAGTGACCTTAATAAACTGTACCCCAACTAGCGACCTCTCCCTTGCCCGTTCTCCACTCCTAGTTCACTTTTGCCCGTCACACTCCCCAAAAAACCCAGCACTGCCATCACGAGAATGGCAAATCAGGGAAGTCATTTTTCCTTCTGATACCCACGACCTTTTCCCCAGGAGGAAATGCTGTACTACTGCGCTGCACCAACATGGCAAACATTTTTCTGGGCTTTCTCCGTCGAAAGACAGTACAAGTCCAGATATTCATGAGAGCGGCCCTGGATATCCCAAGTGTCAAGAAATTATAGCTATAAGACTATTAAATGCTAAGCAAGAGAAAACACGTCAAAATTACAATCTGAAATTTTGCTAAGTAAGCTGAATTATGTATGCCAAGTGTCAGATTTGTGCAGAATATGGGGTTTTTTATTGGACCCATGGGTACCCATCGGGATGGGTCGACCATTTTAAAAAAACCCATAACCCATATGGGTTTTGCCGAAGTCTACTGGTAATTGTTGCTAAAGAGAAGAAACTTAAGCTTAGCCGCCGACCGAAAGTAATGTATATCGAAGATGTGGCGGAGTTTGCTCGCGTGCTGTTATTAATAATTGAGATAATATTCCTATGCGGGTGGCTCTGGATCTAGCTACTTCTCTTCTATTAACTAGCTATAATTACTAATAGTCGTCCTAGGACGCTCTTAAATCTGCGCTATTAGGATCTTATCTTAACTTTAGTGTATAATCCCGAAGGAGGACGGTCTCGACTTTTTATTTATCTGATTCCGGAATTTACCAAGACCTTTCTTAGGGAAAAGGAATAGTAAGTCTCAGAGGCTTGCCTTATAGATCGATCGCTATATGAACGGTAAATAATAGCTAATACGTGGAATAAGAACACGTTCTCTATCCTAGAGTAGACTGCGGCACTATCGGATATCGGCAGTCCGATCGATAGCAAAAAGAATTATCAGCAACTACGATATCGTACGATATCTGTCCGATAATAAACATGACAAACATGCCAAGATCTGGCACCTAATTTGGAAGGCCTGAGTTATGCATGTTTGATGGTATTCTTGGTGTTTCCGCCTTGTAATATCCAGGAATAAAGAACAAGCTCGTTTTGGTGTTTAGGTTACTTTGATGATAGCTTCTTTTATTTCAATATTATAAATATTATATACAGGCTACTCTTACATCTAATCCATATAATCATGTTCCTTTAAGATTGTATTCCTACTGAAATATAACAAAGAGTCAAGATTAACTACAATTTATCAAGCTAAAAACCTGCTCACGATTATCATCTTCCTTCTGCATGTTCTCATAATTGATGTTTATCAACATGTTTCTCCCCATCAATGCTGGAGTGTCCAACCCTTTTGGGTCTACAACCCCTCAACCCCTAGACGAGTCAACCCGCACCCTCTGGAACCGCGCCATACGCGATCCCTCCTCCCTAACAGATCAAGAAATCCGACTCATCCTCCACCGCCCCCCACCAGGTCAAGAAAACACCCTCTGTCAAAATGCCTGCGGCCTGTCCATGGACGAACTAGTCACCAAAGCCCTCAACAGCAACATCAACAACAACAACAACAACAATAACAACGATGTCATCCCCCTTAGCACCCTCGGCCTGAGCCGCAAAGAAGCCAGTCTCCTAACGGCCGGTGTAGTCGAGGGAGAATCAGGCCGAATCCTGTCCGAGGTGGCATGCCTTAGCCCTGAAGATCGGGACCTGAGGGAACGAGCTATGCGTGCGGCGAGGTCGGTCGATGTCCGGGCTGCTGCTGCTAGGGAAGTGGCGCAGAGTGTTCAGCAGCGATGGGCAGCAGTGACGCTGGCGGCGGCTGAAGCGCTGAACGATGATGATATTAGGAATATTCGGGTTGCGATGAAGGTTCCTTGGCAGGAGCACGTACTGCAAACTAGTTCTACTTCAGCGAGTGATTCTGCTTCTGGGTCTGGCCTTGGTGAATCTGAATCGGGAGCTCGCTTTGGTCTCGTGGTATTCTACCCGAAAGAAGAAGATGAGCAAAAAGGAGGAGGTCGTCTTGCGGAGTATAAATTCCAGATCGGAACGGCTCTTCACCATGCACTACACTTTTCAGCGACGCTAATCAAGGACGAGACGAGAGACCGATTCACATTGCGCTGGGTGTCTGTTCCAGGTAACAGTAATAACAACTTGGACTCAAGTGCACTACGGAGCAGGTTCAGCACCATGCTTTCAAATAATGAGATCCCTGTTGGCTTTCGACGCGACGCCTTTCTCTACGTGGATGAGGAGGCGCTCCACTCGCGTGAATCGACAAGGCCGTATGTCTGGCTAGCTGAGCCTGAAGCTCCGTCAGAGTCAAAGACAGAGCCAGAGCCACAGCCGGGAACCGGGACTGGAGCTCAACCCAAGTCTTCGCAGCCCCTAAAAGTCGATATCAAGCATATCGCCCCGACATTGTTTGCGCGGCTAGTCCAGCGCGATCTCCACGGCGAGGCAAGACGGAAGCCCTATCGGCATACCTCGGAGCTGAGCAGGTTGCATGCGGCCACTGATGCAAGACTTGCAGATGAAAGAGATGGGATCTGGCCGCCACCTGCTCGATACCAGTGATTGTATTGCATTCATGATCCGTAATTATCATCTATCCTATCTGATAGGTTCGGGAACTGTGGAAGAGCTGGGTATTTTGCCGCTAAAGGCAAGGTGGACACAGGATTCACTCTTGGCGAGGTGTTTAATAGGACCTCCTAACTAAGGCAGATAGGGTCTCCTTAGACATTGTAGATATTTTTTATTACACCCCAAGTGACTACCAGTATGAATATGACCCACTCTACAAGTTTCACCTTAGCCCCATCTAGACTGAAAATCTATCTAGACTTAGAAAAAGAAGAAAGTCAATGCCTTGCCTATTCATGCTTTGCATTATTCAGCAACCTCCGAGAAAATGTCACAATGCGGAGGCGGACCTCCGGATACAGCGTCGCGAGCTACGTGGACGGGGTGCACAATCCAGAATCCCCTTAAATTTCTATAACGTCTCATTTGAGCAGTTGTTAATCTAGGCAATTTAGACAAAGTAAAGTAGTTTGGCTCCATAGCAGCAACTGCTTAACCCCTCGTATTCGACAAAAAATCCACCTTAAGTATCTAAACCTATATACATCAACAACTATTTCGCCCGCCTCTTGCCTGGTTGGTTGCACAAAGAAACGGTGAGGTTCCAGCCGCGGGACTAGTATTGTATGTGCATGTTCAACTAGATTCTCTCTCAGTTCAGAGCTTGGCTTGCCATTTCACGTATGGTACCACATGCACGGTGCCACTTAGTCCGCTATCAACGGGCCCCGGTAAATGCCCGGGGTCTGTGAGGCTGATCAGCGGTGGATAGCCTGCCATCACGATCCTGTCAAATATACTTCGGATGTAATTCCACATTACGGTGGGAGCCACGATTATGACCTCGTTCTGGCCCGTTCGCAGGTAAGGGCTTATGTCCACCCTGGGCGCATTGTAGTCGAATGGCGGTGTTTGGTGACCGTTGACCTTCACACGAAGGGTATGAAGGACCTGAGGAATCAAAATATATGCGCCGTCCGCCGAACCCGTGCGAGGTGGCCATTCGAAGCTGGTGCTGTAATACCCTAGTCCAGATGCATTCGTGAGCCCTGGGATTTGGGTCCATGGGATGAGCGCGTCCAACTGGTAGGTGGTGTTGAACTTGGAGGCGATCTGGGAGGCATCGGACAAGTTGTCAGGGGCAGCCCAGTGTTCTGCCGTGAGGGACCAGTTGTCAAGTGTGAAACTGCTCGCCGCCGTCCGATCGGGTCGGACTGTGTAGTTTCGGCCATCGGAGAGGACGAGGGGCTGGTCGATTGGCCCGGCTGCGATATGAAGCTCAACCGAGTCGGAGGTATTCGTGCTGTATAGGTACTCTTGGACCGTGGAAGGGGTTTCAACGGCATGGACCACTGATCCACGCCATCCATGGACGGAGGGTCCAACGAAGGCGATCAGTGCAGTTTGGTTTGCCTCTAGCGCTAGTGGAATGATGGTCTTGGACCGGGTTTGCTGGTATTCAAGGATCTGCTTGGAAAGCCCGGTCCACATATCAAGCCGATATGGGATTTTGTTGCTGGACACCACAAGGTAGCCAGTGCTGGCCTCGCCATCGTTATATACGAACGTGTATTGGACATCTTCACTGACTGATTCCCGCCAGGTTGTGTACCACGTGCTGTTGGCCCGTACTTGGATTCGAGGCTCCAGGTGGAGAGAGGCTAACTTATGCATCAGCTCGCTCTCGGAGACCGCGAAGACGTTTTCGGTGCGCTTTAACTCAGATATGGCTTCTGCGAAGGTTTGGTGGCTGGGAGCGCCCGCACTGGCATATAGAGGAGGATCCCCACCGACTAAAATGACCGGTAATCCCGCCCCTGCGAACTGTTGCATCTTGCCGATCGCATCATATGTTACGTTTGACGCGCTGTATACAATCAGGGCCTTATAAGCTGGTCCATCAGGCCCAAGGGTCTGGTTGCCAACATATGCTTGCGGAAGGCCAAAGTTTTCGGGTGAGAGGTAACTATAACTATAGCCTACAAAAAAGTCAGCGGCGAGATTGTCCGAAAGTGATGGAAGAGAAAAATGCCATGCTAACCCGCATCAATGAGCTGAGTCATATTTCCTGGATGCCAGCGGAGGGTATAGTCCGTGGCGGACTGCTTGTCGTAGATAGCGATATCCGTCTTCAGAGGACCTGCTTGTTGACTAAATTGTAGCCTTCCGACGTATTGCAGGAAATCAGCGAACCCATGATCCCAGGCTGGCTGTTTATTCGACCACAGTTCACCGTAGAAATATGAGAATGCGGTATAGCCTGGCCAGGTTGTTGCCCAGTAGTTGCCAGTATAAGATAGGCCGTGAATCACAAACTGATTGACACCTCCCGCAACCGCGCGGTTGATAGACCACAGTAGGTTGGAGACCTGGTACTGGAATGCCGCTAGAGACACGGCGCCGATCTCATTGGAGACGATCCTCTTGCCTGCCAGGACAGCCGGTCCAGAGAATTGCCTATAGCCGTCGATGTTGTCAAGGAAACCAAGGCTCTCACATTCGGGTGCGTTTACAATGGGGACAGTCGCCTCCATGTCCATGGGAAGGTTGTAGGCGGGCTGAACCGACATCTGTACATTGAGATCTGTCGTCGCCCATTCTGTCAGTCTTTCCAGGTACTGACTGTATCCCTCTACCAGCGCATCACGAAAGTCATTGACGTAGCCAACCCCTTCGTCGGGCGTATCCAGAATGCATTCGACGGGCCCTGGCTCGGTTGATTGAATCGCAATGTTGTTGTTGCCAAACATGATCAATGGTAAGTATTGGATGAGACTGTATCCGTGCTTCTGCTCGAACAGCCTGGGGAGCGACTTAGACCAAGAAATATTCGATTTGATCTCAACACTGTCCTCCCAGGCTACAAACCATGTCAGCCGCGATCCAGCGGAACATAAAAGGTATTCGCCATCTTCTCACCATAGTTTCCCACCTCAGAGAGAAGCGATCTCACATTCTCAGTCAGGACGTATTTCTCCCAGAAATCGATCACCACCTCGGCGCCTCGGGAACTGAAGTGATCAACCATGTATGCTCCGTTTTCCACAACCGCTTCCGTCTGATTCGAGAAGAATATCAAATTTTGAGCCTTTGTTAAGCGTTGATAGAATGCGAACAACCAGAAGATGGGGTTTTCGGGACTCCTAGGATACGTGAATGATAGATGGCCGGTGGCAGACACCTCAGCAGTTCGATCAGCGAGTGAAGATTCTTTGAGAACGAGGCGAGTGTGGGGCACTCGGACAGAGGATAACGTCGTGTAGTTATCGGTTCTGTTCACCACTTCAGCTGAAATGAGTGCCAGTAGGTCTCCAGTTCCCCAACCTGGGATGATTCCAGCAAAGGATCCATTGGCAGGAACTGGCACTGAGAAGGGTACCTAACAGGGGTGTCAACTTTGCAATCAGGTTCACAACTTTAGGGCGTACCAAATCCCACTGAAGGCCTTCCTCATTGGAAGCAGCCGGCACGCCCTGCCCTTGATTGGGTCCAATGGCAAAGTCCATCACCATACCAGCGTCCCGATGAGTTTCCAAAGCAGCCTGGAACAATTTGTTAAATGCAGCTGTGCCGACTCCGTACTTGCCCCAGTCATCCCCTGGAGGTGCAGGGCCTAGGAAACCGCCGGCGTTGTACCACGGCAGGTATTCTATTCCACCCGCTCCCACATCTCCGGCGGACTTGATGTCATCTCTCATCACCTGCTCATCGACACTGGGATCGGGAAGCCAGTAACGAAATCGAGGTCTTGTGACCGCTGATGGGTTTTGAAAAGTTCCGGGATCAATGTCCCTGGAAAATTGGTCATTGGTGCCGATGCTGGAGCAGCATACGGCGAAGGTCAGGGTAAGAGCTACCCAGGGGCCGAATCGGAAGATAAACATCACGCCGACGGATGATGTATTGGACGGTCTAGTCGTTTTTCCACGTAACTCAAGGAGGCGTCTCCGGGGCTCTTAAATAGACAATCCGACTTGGCTATTAGCGGATCGCCATGATCCACACGGTAATCTGCAGGCTGCCGTAAATCGAAGGCACCTGTTGACATCATCTTCGTATTCGTGTTCGTAAGAATGGGACAGGTTGAGCAATTTGGACCGGTAAGGACCGTAGATGACCTTGCCTCCTCTTAGGACACGTCATTAAGTTAGCTATATGGCTCTTTTGATGTTTACAGCTCTCGTGTGGTCCAGAAACGATAAATCTACCTCAGCATATGACCATTCTGCTCACTACAACCATGACGTACTTAAGGGTCTCTAGAGAGCTACACACGGCATAAGAGCCGTTGGAATGCGTGAAGAGATGGCAGTGCCAACAGAAATGGTTGACTACTTTTTCAAACGGTGCTGGAACCGAAGACCCGTGTGAAGCCCTAACAGCTATGCGTCTTCGCTGCCATGCGGTTTCTTTTATCCCCCCTTACACTTTAATACCCCCAATTCGAAACCAGTGAAATATCACCTTGCTCCGCAATCCTTGTGCTACCCCTCTCAATGACTATCGCGCCTGATGGCATATTCCGAAGCGGAAACCAACTTGGGCAACGAGTATCCAGTTTGGACAATTGCACTATTGCCTATTTGAAGATCGCTGAGCCTTGCACCGTTGTGATCCAGTGCCCAGAATACGAGGGCGAGGTAGTTCTCCCCATGATGGTTGAGAATACCTTCAGGGATTGGATACGATGTCTGTGGACCGATATTATTGACTATGTAAAAGGAAAGAACTTGTTAACCTTCCTGTCCTGAAGATCTTGCGACCGGTGTGGCAGCGCATTATAGGGGAAAAACGTACCATACTTTCCAAACTGCCACCCATTCACATACAGAGATATCCGAAATCGTCCTGCGGCGGTGGGATCCCCGACAGCCGAGCTGTTTGTGAAGATGATGTTTGTTGGGATATCGTATCCATGCGGGAAACTCAAATTGAACGTTGTAGCAAAAAATCCTACACCTGGTCCCGACATGCCGTCCATAGGAGACCTCTGCTGCCAACCTTGAGAGGGCGCTCCCGGGAGGTGGAAACCTTGCCGCTCAGCAAAAGTTGCTCCTTCGTTGAGAGGGCCTCGACTGAGGTCACGGGTGCGCTCGCCTTCATAGTTGCCTGTCATCCTCCATGTAATGTCAGCCTTGTCCTCGTGGCTGGAGAGGCTGTAGTCCAGAAGCCCTCGTGGGGCCTTCATGGTCTGTAGGTTCGCGTAGAAATTCGCATCGAGTCCCATATGGTCGATCAGAACCGTCAAGACATAGGAAGACCCGGACTCGAGGCGATTGGGGAAATGCAGCGTCTGATTGTACGTTTGTACAGCAGGACTTCCGGGCCAAGCACCGAGAAACGTCGAGTTCAACCATACCGAGTGTGCGAATGCGTAACCGCCCTGGCTGGACAGGGAGAATGAGGACTCGGCCCCGTTCGCAACGAAATGGCCTCGATAGAGGATGGAACCCGCGTGATAGCCATAGTCACTCGCATATAGTGATGTAGGTGTGGTCAATCTCCGAGGATTTTTAGTTGAGTGGTGATTACACAGGGTCCAACTGCTATCATCATAGCGCGAGCTAAGCTCTGGGAGGGAATCGAGGTACTGCCACTTCGCTGCGGCAAGGTTGGGCAATGCAACGCCCGGGGCTTCATACTTCAGCAGGCCCTTCAATCGCCCATTCTCCACGCTGGTCTCTACGCTCTTTCTGTTGAACGTAAGACCGGAACAACACGCTGGAGGGGCTGCAATCACCTCGATTTCTGTTGTTGCATTAAGATCCCCAGTGAGGGACAGCACTCTATTGGAGATAGTCGCGTTCCGTATAAGATATCCACCTTTGAGGATGACCGAGGAGTTTTCCCTTGATGGCGACACATGTAGGCCAATTGGCGGAGGAAGTGGTAAGTCGACCACCCAGTAATTGTAAGCATGCTCTCGCAACAGCAAATACACCTCAAGCTTATCACCAAAGCTGATGACCTGGCGGTCTGCACTGACCGTCCACTGGACAATGGTTCCATTGTGGATACCGCGATATGTGGTTCCGTTCCCTTCCTCGATTTTCACTTGATTGTAGGGCAGTGAGACCGCAAATTCATGCTGTTCAGCCTCCCCGCCGTACATCAACAGGATCATTTTGGATCCTGACCTCTTCCACGTATATATCTCGGCTGACGAGTAGACCAGACTGACATCCCCCATTCGGTAGTCCGTGACATGGATCTTGGAATCCCGTCCATTTAGAACCAGGGAGCCACCTAGTACAGGCACGGTGAAATGTCCCAAACTAGTGTCTAGGTTGATGTGATACAATGTGGACTTGAGTTCGCCATAATCGGCATGTCGAACGGTATAGAACTTGGTGGTGTCACCAAGTAGTACCGTAATAACCAAGTTGGAAGCGTTGGAGTACCTGCGCGAAGCAGGTAAGGGCTGGGAGACCATATATGCCGGCGAGGACTGCATGAATTGACCCTGGAGTTTGATTTCGTGATATTTCTGGCGCGTCAATAAACGATCTTCGCTAATGGGTGCTCCAACATCGTATGACGTATAGCCAGATGGGTACCCCAGATTGCCCCAGTTGGTCCCTCCGAACATCTGAGGTGTCAGCCAAAGGACTTGAGCCACCGTTAGATGGACGTACCATGTAGAGGTTCACAACCGTGGCGCGAAGGCTGAAGTTTACTTTATAGAACACCCGTGCAAATTCAGCACTGATCATGGCTGCACAAGTGCTGACACCTTCTCCACCCCTAGAATTGACTTAGCTTGTCTTTCCTCCGGTGCAATCTGCGTCACAGGCCAAGCGATTGGCTTACCACGGATCAGGAGCGCCCCCTTGGTATTCTATGATGGCATATGGCGTCTTTGGGCTCATAGCTAGGTGTGTGGAGAAATTGGACAGGATCAAAGGATCCAATATCCGGGTCCAATTGTAAGGGTTTTGACCTATGGCATGGTGTCAGTTTGCACACATTATATCTTCTTATCGGCTGGCACGGCTGAAAGTCGACTCACATCCAGTGCCCCAGCCAAACGGATAATCATCATACCCGTAAATATCCACGGCACCTCTCCCTGTCCCTGGCGCCCAGTTACCAAGAGGCACCGCATCGTTGCTGATAAATGGCACAACAATTCCGGCCTCCCGGTATTGTTTTTCCACCGCGAACATATAGTTCTTATCCAGGCACGCACTGATTTCCTCAATTGACGTGAAACCCGAACACATGGTGTACTCATTCTCCGGCTGGAAAAGTATAACCGGACCACCATTTGTGACTTGGGCCCGGCTGATAATCTTGCCGGTATTCGCGATGTAATTGCTCGTGGCATTCAGGTAGTCTGGAGCCACTGACCTGACGCCTGCGCGCAGGCGTTGGAGCCATCCGGGAAGTCCGCCTCCTGAGACTTCCGCATTAATATATGGCCCTGGTCGAGCGATCAGGTATATTCCTGCCTGACTGGCAGCATCAAAGAAGACTTGGAGATCAAAGACGCCATCACTGCGAAAACGCCCTGGGGCCCCTTCCAACAATCCCCACATCAAGTAGAACGAAACACCGGAGTAGCCCAGTGCTCTTATCTTCTGAAAAACATCGAGCCATAGGCCAGGGGAAGGAAGTCGGAAGGGATGAAACTCGCCTGACAAAAGCAGTATCCGTTCGCCGCGGACGAATATCGAATATTCATCCCAGGTGACGAGTCCCGATTGCTGTTCGGCTAATGCATCCGGTGCGCGAAAAATGTCCAACCGGGCTTGGTCGGTTGGAATAGCAAACAGAAGAGCATAATATACGAAGGCGAACAGAATGTGATACACCCACTTCATGATGGAATGGTCCGAGTTACCTCAGGTCGTTGCTCCAATTTGCGTACTCGCGTTTGTTGAGGGGGGCCACGGTTTGTGCGTAGCCGCTTGGTATTATATATGTCTATATTACTCCCGTGACTACGCTGTACGTGGGTCACACTATATCCATGGCATGAAACCAAGTTCAACATCCCTCCCCATGGGACATATCAAGGGGTCTGAGACTTGTGGGAAGGGGGACGCAGCCGCTATTCCGAATCGTTTTGAATGGTCATGTCTATCTATCGGATCATCCTCTCTCATGAGACCACTACCTCCTCAGAAACTCAACTGTTACTGTGGTCCTTCGAATTTGAGGCTTTGACCCCCATTGCCCCAGGCGCGGGCGGAGATTGCCTGTGGCGGATATTTTAGCTCGTATAGCATCGTCAATATGGGACGCCCTATGTGTAGATGATACGATGGCTGACAGATCCAAGTTCCCTTCCACAGGTTCTGATGGCACATAGGGAACCCAAGGTATCGGACATGCATCACAGTTTCACCAAATGGAGTAAAAAAGAGCCACCTATTAGCCAGCTAGGGATAACTAAACATAACTGGTGCCGGCCTGCCGCTCATACTTTGGGGCTAACCCAGAAACGCATTAGAGAACGAATACGGGGTACGCTTGGCCCCTGGTCCCCTGGCTTGTGGAGTGGCCGATTGTGTGGGGTCGGGCATGCCAGGATTTTACTGTCCATCTACAAGCCTCCGCCGGATCCTCGGATATTCAAAGACTGGGGCAACGGCCTTTGCGAGATGGTATTGTAGCTACGAGTGTATTTTGATGATGCAATTGCACAGTCCGTACTATACATACCGCATATCTGGGAGCCCCCTGGTAGCTTAAAAAGAAGATCAGGATTTACTAGTTAACCGTGAGTCGCTCTATAGAGTCCTTGCCTCGCGTCTCTTCTATTTCCTCACGAACTTGGATTGCGACATATTCACGCCCTATGGCTCTCTTTCTCCGTTTGATGAGTGCCTGCACACTGGCACTTAGCGTGTACGGTCAGGTTTTCAATAACGAAACCACTGGCGAGCTCAGCGCTGTACTCTCGAACCTCGAACATTACTGGTCATACGGCAGATCACCGCCAGTTTATCCAAGCCGTATGTTCTGTCATCTCCAAAGAGACAAAGTGGTCTACTTATACATTCCACAGCTGCAGGAAATGGGACCGGTGATTGGGCCATCGCATATGAGCAGGCCAGAGCTCTGGTTTCTCAGATGACCAACGATGAGAAGACCAACCTCACATACGGCTTTCAGGGAATCGGCAACGGCTGCGCAGGTAACACGGGGACTGTGCCCCGGCTCAAATTTCCTGGCCTCTGTTTTCAGGATGCCGGCAATGGAGTTCGAGGCCTGGATATGGTGAACTCATATGCCTCCGGCCTCCACGTCGGAGCATCGTGGAATCCAGATCTGGCGTACAAGCGTGGCCATTATTTGGGAGCAGAGTTTAAAAAGAAAAGCATCAATGTCGCCCTGGGGCCTGTTGTAGGACCCTTAGGTCGCATCGCCCGCGGAGGTCGGAATTGGGAGGGGTTCTCCAATGATCCCTATCTATCCGGCAAGCTAGTGTACGAGACCATCACAGGTATGCAGGAATCTGTCATTGCGAGTGTCAAGCATATGATCGGGAACGAACAGGAGACAGACCGCAATCCGTCTGTCTATTTGGCAAATGCATCCATTTCGTCGAATATAGACGATAAGACAATCCACGAGCTATACTTGTGGCCATTCCAAGACGCAGTGAAAGCCGGCGTGGGTTCTGTTATGTGCAGTTACAATCGTGTGAATAACAGCTACGCCTGTCAGAACAGCAAGGTCTTGAATGGCCTCCTGAAAACTGAACTGGGGTTTCAAGGCTTCACAGTCACCGATTGGTATGCCCGACATAATGGCATCGCGAGTGCGGATGCAGGCTTGGACGTTGCCATGCCAAGTTCACCTACTTGGAAAAACCATACATTGAGCCTTGCAGTTTCCAACGGATCTCTGGCTCAAGCTCGGTTGGATGATATGGCGACTCGGGTCCTTGCTACCTGGTTCAGGTTCTCGCCACTCGATGATCCTGGGGCCTTTGTTCCGGCGAACCTCACTGAACCGCATGAAATCGTCGACGCTCGGGATCCTGCTGCTGCGCCTACTCTTCTTCAGGGTGCCATCGAAGGCCACGTTCTCGTGAAAAACACGAATGGCAGTCTTCCTTTGCAGAAGCCGCAGATGCTCTCGCTTTTTGGGTATGATGCTCCTGCACCGGAAATCAACTCGCCGACACCAGCCTATAGTTTCCTGCAAAGCCTCGGTCTTGGCAATACCCTGTCGTATGTCGGTGGACAGAGCTTCGCTTACGAGATTGCGGCTGCTCTTATGGGAAGCTTTCTCGCTAACACCACGGGCCCTAATGTTGCACTCAATGGAACGTTGATAGTTGGTGGGGGATCCGGCAGCAACACTCCAGCATACATAGATGCTCCATTCAACGCTTTCCAACGTCAAGCAAAGCAAGATGGCACATACTTGTCCTGGGACTTTGCCTCCCTGGATCCGGGGGTCAATGCAGCTAGCGAAGCATGCATTGTCTTGGTGAATGCGCAGGCTTCTGAAGGATGGGACCGACAGAGTCTCGCTGATACTTATTCCGATACCCTGATTACCAATGTGGCAACAAAATGCAATAACACGATGGTCGTGATGCACAATGCGGGAGTGCGGGTGGTGGATGCATGGATCGACCATCCAAATATCACAGCCGTGATCTTCGCCCACGTCCCCGGGCAGGATTCCGGTACTGCCCTGGTGGAGGTCATGTATGGAAGACAGTCACCTTCGGGACGCCTGCCTTACACTGTCGCGAAGGACCCAAATGACTATGGCGCATTGCTCGATCCCGTGTACCCGGATAACTCTAGCATGTACTACACTCAGTCAAATTTCACCGAAGGAGTCTACATCGATTACCGCCAGTTCATTGCCAACCGCATCACCCCGCGGTTTGAGTTTGGGTATGGTTTGACCTACACAACGTTCAGTTACCATGGTTTGGACATGCACATCTCGCAAGGAACACCCAAGTCTTACCAGCCACCAGGCTCAGAGTTATACACCGCCAGCGAGCCTAAGCCTCCGGGGGGGTTGGACTCTCTGTGGGACGTGATGGTGACTATTAGCTGCACCGTAACCAACACTGGCAGCAATGAAGCGGCAGAAGTCGCCCAGTTATACATCCGCATTCCTGAAGCTGGACCGGATAGAGTCTTACGAGGATTCCGCAAGCAGCTAATCGGTCCGGGGAGGAGTGAAAATTTGCAGTTTCACCTCACTCGCCGTGATCTGAGTCAATGGGACGTCGTTACACAGCAGTGGGTGCTTGTAGAGGGTGAATATGAAGTCATGGTCGGCAAGAGTGTGTTGGACATACAATTGACGGGGAAGCTGACCATAAGCCATGATGCGTAGGCGAGCGTCAACTGGAGAGCCGCACCCTTTTACTGAAATTCGCACCTCTGTTTGGCGTCCATAGCATTTCTATCGACCTGCTTTCGCCATCTTAAAGGCGGGAATCGAAGATTGTCGTCGTTTCAGGTTTTGAGTTATATGGAAGCTCGTCGGAGTCATTTGTTACATAGATCCATACGAAATCATAGTTTAAACTCACTCCTCCCTCGAAGTAGGCTTTGAGTGATGGACGTAAAAGCTGAATACAAAAATAGCTGCGCCAGTACATTGCTCAGATCCTGTAATGGAACCTCACGTCCTCGGCATCTTTCGTTACATGCTAACAGCGCAGGAACGATTTTCGTTTTCTTTTTTGACTATGAATTGAAAGGTCAGGAAAGCGGTCGAATTTCATCGGATCTTCACTACTACGATAAGATACAGCGAGAGTATTCATATTCACGTGAAAAACAGCACCACCGTTGCTACTAAAAACAGTATATTTGGGGGGAAGAGTGTTATGGCGGGCCGCGTCCCAGGATAAGGTTCTTCTAAGAGAGACGTGTGAGACTGATGCCGTACTACCCATAGTTGCCCCAGTAGTACGTACTACGTTGGTGACTGTTTAACGATCTAAAACTGTATCCCTACTCCACCTGATCGTACGCAGGAATCCGCTAAGCTGGTGGAGAAATGACGATCTGCTTTTTTACTTCATTTTCCTTTTCTGCTAAAGGTCTATTGCTCTTTTGGTTTAGTGTACGAATACGATATTTACCATATGTGGGCTTGGATCTAGACCGTGTCTACGGTACGGTTACGCTATAATTACAGGCTCGTACTACCATCCAGGGCAACGGATGAGAAGTTAAGCATTAACTATGAAGTGGAGGTAGCGGGTGGGGACCTTGGGAGAAAGAGTTCCGATTTGTCTGGTCAATTTCTGCCGTTTCATCCTTTCTAGGCAAGTTACCCAGCTTCTCAGGTAAACGAGTCAGGTTAGGTTTGGGTTCTTTTTTGTACTTTCTCATATTTTTGTCCCATTCTACTGCCAAAGTGTCCGAACCTAGAAAATACATGCTCAGCAACGAGTATGATTTATCCCTTATCGCAAAGTAATTGAAATAAAGTTGGCACTTTCGTTCGGATAATCTACCCCGTGACCAAAGATTTTGCCTATGAAGTTTTCTAAGGGTTCAATGACTCATAATCGATCGAGCAGACCAGTTGGGAGAGTATACTTATGATAACTTCAAAAATTTTGGTCGAAGCAGAGCTCAAGTATATTCCACCCAGAACTAGATCTTGCCACTTTTTTCCCCTTCGTTGAAAATTTGCGGTAGATCCCCATTATGCTCTAACATTGTAAGCTCATTGTTTAGAAGAAATTATTTGTTTTTGGAACCATCGATCGACGTTGCTGTATTATAATTTCTTAGTATAATTTCATTTTACTATTAATTTTTCGTATATGGTGATGCGATGATATCGCTGTTTTAACTTGGGCTATAGCAAATCGGCCTCGTTATTATTCCTTTTGCCGATAGAAGAAAGCCTATCTTTAATATACTTAAAAGTTAAACAACTCACGCGTTCCATGATTGGTTCTTCTCCACATAGTCTTCTGAACTGTATCGTTGTCGCTGTCCTAGGTTTTTTTTTTGTCTTTATTTCTGTCTTTCTTTTCTTTCCCCCTCTCCCTTTTCTTTCTGCTCACACCGTTACTGGCCGCAAGCGGACATTGTTCGACCGACCATCCGGTAAGATGGCCACCTTTCCTGCGGACAACAGTTCGCTCGGGTGGCTTAAGAAGAGGAGTGCCGTCTGCACGAACATGAGGAGTGCGTCGAAGACGTAGAGAAAGACCTCGTGGCGCAGCAAGTAGCCGTCATTCCCCTGAATGTATTCGGCCACGCGGAAGACCGATCGCGTCATGATGAGGAGGCTGGCGGCGTACAGCACTAGCAAATGCTTCCGCCATGGAAGTCCTGGCATTGTGAGCCGAGCAGCGGACCGGTTGCGTTGCATGCGCCAGAGGAACATGGTAGCGGTGGCAATGAACAGACCGAAGAAGGCGATCTGTATGAATAGGCCTGCGGTCACGACATCTTCACCCACTGACATCCCGTTCGCTCCAGTGACCATAATTCCGGCACCTAGATTGATTATCTTGTCAGACATGGGCAATAAAACGGAAAAGGAAGTGAAGAGGGAGGGTGGTGATGAAAGTAGTCTTTCTTCCCTTCTGCTACTTCAAAAAAAGGGAAATATGAACCCACCGGCAGCTTGGACAAGAAAAGATATCACGTCTCCGGAGACGAAGAATCTGGTCAGCCATCGCGGTTTCACAACGGCGTACTCAGGGTGGTTAGTGATGAGGATAAGTCTCCCCAGTACCATGTATATAGAAGCCGCAAACAAGGCAGGAGCGACAAGAATAAGAAGGCTTTGTAGTACATAAGGTCCCAAAGTCCAATCTGGGGTCTCATAATGTCCCAAAGCACGGCCAATGTAACCAATACACTCAACTAAAGGAGGGAAAAATTGATGGTCAGCTACCTAATCCTCAAGGCAACCGCGGTCTCTTCTTTTCCACTTATATCGAGAGAACTTGCGGGGATGGGCGACGCATTGCTCACAGTAACATCCTATCACGAATGGGACAAAACACCATGTCCGCGTACGCAGCATTTGGAATGTGTGGACCAGCGAGCTCATACCAAACAGAACAGTGAAGATTAAGGCCGCAGGCAGTGAGGGATCATAGTGGTAGTATGTCCAAGTAGAGTCAACGTTCGACATCCTGAGTGTTTTTTTGGGAGAAATCCGAATTCTAAGAGTGTGTGGTGGTATCTCTGCCAGACTAACCGCTCCTCTTTTAAAGTCTTCAAACCTGCACGTGGCGATGACCAAAAGGTCTCTTACATCGCAAGGACACAGGGACCCAAGAAATCCCACAATCGTACTCGTACCATAGTAGCATTCAGGGGACTTTTCTCGAATGAATGGATTTATCTATTGCCGCACGTACATTCAACCAGCAAACTCCATGGCTCACCTTTTTTTTTTCCGTGGAACTCCCTGTATCGTGTTCGTATCTGGTATTTTTGTGGGACCGTCCATTCCCACGATTGATCAACTGTGCTGGTGGGTCCAAAATGCGTGCAAGGTTGTGCTAACTCTGTGTTGGTCGAGTGGCAACAAAGTGCTGTGTAGGCCTTCCATTTGGCGATGCATGATGATGTTTCACTGCATCCAGTAATGAAACCAACTGTAGGCATAGGGTATGGTGGTTGACTGCATATGACAGGGAACTCATGGCTGGGGTAAACTTGCTGCCAAGCATACTTGACACTATTTGAGACGCCATCACGGTTGTGATTCCCATCGTCTCACCATGAAATCTCCATCCCAACCCAGCAGGCTTCTGTAGGCCCAGGCTGCGATATAGAGTAGCTCTCTCGTGGGCATTTATTGAACATGAGTCCTCGAGCTGGCAAGTCCCAGGCCTTGGTCAATAAGGCTAAACTTTTTGAAGAGTACGCCCTGGTGTGATCAGTACTAGCGCATGATATCTGGGATGCTGTAGGTAGTTCACTGTTTGCTCCGTGCTTCCTCCCTCCTTTCCCGGCCCATTGCACACACTCGGCTGAGGGGAGTCACCTTTTCTTTCCTTCAGTTCTCATGAATGGCTCTAGGTATGATGCTTTTGCCCCCGAAGCTCGCTTCCGCGCGCGACGACTTACATCCAAATACAATTCGTCCCCAATACCCGATGAGTAACACCAGAAGCCCTAGCCACAGAGCCGGGGACATTCTGTCTGAACTGCTTGGGACTTTCATATCCGACATCTACCTGGAACCGCCTCTTTTTGTCGACTACGGTTGCAACATTAGCATTGGCGACAACTTCTACGCCAATGTTCAGTAGGATCCACAGTTCCCGCGCAAATAGATAGGAGCTAACATGTGTGACTGGGTGGAAAAGCACGACGATTCTGGATTCTGCCCTCGTCACTATAGGTGATAGGCTTCATTCGGCCCGAACGTGAGTATCCTGGCCGCTACGCATGAAACGAGTGTACAATCGGGATGGATTCGAGTTTGCGCTCGAGGTCTCGATTGGAGACGATTGCTGGATCGGGGGCGGAGTCACTATACTGGCAGGAGTGAGTGTCGGAGAAGGATGCACGGTCGGCGCTGGCGCAGTTGTTACGAAGAATATCCCCCCGCCCCCTCCCCTTTAGTGTCGATGTGGGCAGTCCCGCACGCGTCATTAAACAAGCTGATCCTGGTGTTGAGGTCTGGAGGGAGTCCGGGGGCAAATGATTTAATAGTGGTGGCAGAATTAGAACGTCATATAGATGTTTAATATCAATGTGAAGAGAGCAGAGGAACGGATCTATGACGGGTTGTATAGTATACAGGCGTACAAAACAGTCGGTATATAATACTAGGGACTGTATAAAATAGAAGCGTTTCCTGCTGTGAAAGTCAGGTGAATTCAGCTGTGGCAGTTCGGAGGGCTTGGCAGGAAATGACTAAAGTGCTGAATTACGTGATCTTCAACGATTCAATGACTGAAGGTCTTGATTGTTCTAACTACGGGATTCAGCTCGTATTTATACGATTTCTAGAGCTTCAAAATAATGATCAAAATACAATGAAAATAATCATTCATTTCATCATAAGACGCAATTATGTTGAGATATTGGCTGATCAATTGTTTCGGCTTGAGCGAGGCGATGTTAGTTATTTTTGTTGTTGTTGTTGTATTTTACGGCCGCGGTTCACCGCCTAGGCACGTGTCCCGCTGTCCCCTGTGATGAGATATAATTAGCTCGGAGGTCGGGAACAACGTTAATCCGTCCGAGACTCATATTTTGCAGAGGCTACGATCCTCTTCAACACTCAAGCACTCAAGTATCTCTGTACTCTAGGCTACGTTTTAGATAGAGTATTACTCCATTCATTTGCATTCTCCTTATGGCTTAGGCCTCGTACAGCTCGGACCGATCGAACTCCTCCATCCCCCTGAGTTTTCCCACTTCACCCTGCTGGGGCAAAGGCCGCCAGGGGGTAAGCCCTGGGCGTCGCTAACTAGTTCTAGTTCTAGTTCTATGTACAAATAAGGGACTTTAGCGCATTAAATAGCTGCTGCAGTCAAGAAGGAGAGTCTGTGGATCAGGCAGAAGTTAATGCTAGCTGCAGAGGTCCTCCTAAACTCCGTGACCTATCCTACCACCTCTGTCTCTCTCTCTCTTTTTTTTTTTTTTTTTTTTTTTTTAATCTAGCTGAGGTAATGGGTGCCGTATGCATATATCCTCAAAGAAACGAGTTTTGGATAGCCACGCAGCCAGCTCGGTTGCACCTTTTGGGGTGCCTAGCAGGTAGGGGATTATGTCAGAAGGGGACCCTGGAGGTCGGGGTAGGCGCCTCTTTGCAATGCAGCAGAAGAGGAAGTGAACTGTAGTCTTTCTTGCACCACAGCGGCAGAGAAGGTGAGCATCTTCATGGTTAAACCGTTCGTGGTAGGCTGCAAAGTCTCCGTGGCCCGTACGAGCAGCCAGGATCCGTGCTGAAAGCGGCCTTGGGAGCTTTAGTTCTGCAGGGCATCTAGGGAAGTTGGTAATCCAGAGATCTTGATAGGATTGAGGGGCCGAGGACTGCCAGTATCTTTGAAGAGTAGTTATGATATCTGCCTTAGCCTGCCGCCTTAACGAGGCGTACGAGCGTTTACTTAAAGGGGGAGGGTCCATAGCTGCTTCATTCTCAGGTATTTGTGTTGAGCGAGGCGATGCAGTGCCGGATTAGTCAACTTCCGCGGCCACATCAGCCTTATAGCACGTGACCAACTATACGGGAAGCGGTTGAGCACGAAAATGAAGATGATGTGAACGGCCGACCCAGGAATGTATTCTTCTGTCACCCAATATTCTTTTTCCTCGCTTCCTTTCTCTTCCCAGCAGCTTCCGGCCTTGCCTGGAATTGCGCTTGGTTTGATATAATGCCGTCTCGTCGGTCTCATCGCAAGTCTCGTCACGGATGTGTTGCCTGCAAACGGCGAAGGGTTAAGGTATTGTAATCCTAAGCCCCCTCCTGCTTCACTACAGTAGATCCAGTTCAACTATAGTATTCTGCTGTGCGTGCTGTGATCTGCTGTATTTTCTCCCGGGCCATCGCCAGTATTTTGCTCACATGTGCTTACAGTGCGATGAGCGTCAGCCAAAATGCACCAATTGCTTGAATCGCAACACTGAATGTGTCTACGCATCAAGGGAAGTTGACTGGGTACCGCCTTCACAATCCGAGCGTTCGTCATCTCGCCATAAATCACCCGCTGCGTCTAGTACTCCGTCCTCCTCAGGCTGGATGGGCGGCAGTGACCCTCTTCCCCAGGCCTCCGATCCAAATATTAGCGACATGGAACTGCTTCTCCAGTGGTGCTCTTCGACATACGCCACCATGGCACATGACCAGCGTTTTGAACATCTATACCAATACGTGTTGCCGAAGGAGGGCTTAGAGTACCCGTTTGTCCTGCATGGCTTACTAGCATTGTCCGCTCTCCATATCGCCCGAGCCAGCGACCCCGCGTCCAACACCCGGTACTTCTCAATCGCATTGGAGCATCAAAACCGGGCACTTGCCTTGTTTCGACCAGTCATATCTTCCATCAACCGTGACAACAGCCACACCATTTTCGCATTTGCCAGTCTACTTCTCCAACTGGCCTTCGCCATGTCACCCTGTTCTCCGCTCATCGAGACTCACGACTCTGTTGAAGATCTCATCCAGGTATTTAAGCTTTGCAGAGGGCTTCGGGAGATTGTCGCTGCATCATGGCACTGGGTCAAGGAAGGGAAGTTGGCGGATGTGTTCACACAAGTGGATGACAGCAAACAATGGCCTCTTCCCGAAACCACTGAGGCCGCCATGTCCCAACTGAAGTACTTCAATGAGTCACGGGGGCGGCAATTTGTGGATCATGACGCTGACTGCTACAATGCGGCTATCGATCATCTAAAAGATATGATGGAGATCTACCAAGGCAAGCCGCACCGTGTTGAACTGGCTATGCGGTGGCCTTTCGGCCTTGAATCCAAATATTTAAATCTTCTCAGAGAACGTGACCCAATGGCACTCGCGATACTAGCTCATTACTGTCTTGTACTACATCATTTCAGGCACCATTGGTGGCTGGAAGGTTGGAGCATCCGCGTCGCGCAAAGTATTTGGGATCAGCTGCATGAGTCCTGGAAACCATATGTGTCCTGGGTCATAAAGGAGGTGGGGCTAGATGTGTGAACGTGATTACAGGTGCCTGATCTCCTGCGTTTTCTCAATCTTGCAACTTTTCGAAACCTCAAGTTGTGAGGTCTCGGATCACAGCTCGTGCTGCTAAGTCATTACTGGCCTTCCCACGGGGATGGGGTCAGTCACTCGTGCACCTATAGGGACGTGCTAGCCCTCACGTGATGGGCTCCGGGCACTGTTTACCCATGAACGGTATGGACACCATGATTTGTTGCAGAGACAGTCACTGGCTCTAAGGGGCATTCCAAGTCCACTGGTCTCAGAAGTGAGGGCCGTTGATGCGGTGGTATCCATCTGAAAGCCGTACTAAGTGCGTTTCAAACCCTGTGACAGGGAAATCGGAAGAACTGATGCCCGATCGAGGGTCTCTTTTTTGGTAATTACAAGAGCCATTCAAGGAGCCCTGCGTTTAGCGTCTCTTGCTTCTGCTTATTAAGAGGTATATGTACCTGGAAAGGTAAAATTATGGGCATATAGTGGCGATTGTATGTACCATGTGGGTTTGTTAGTGTACGAATACGAGCCAGGCAAAAAACAGCCCACTTGAGGAATTTAGCAACGGATAGAGTTATTGCAACGTAAGCTCCGAATTGCCAAAGAGGAAAAAAGGAACGGTTGTGCAGAAAACAACGGAAAGTTAAAAATATACTAAATAAGACAGTCATGACCAATGGAAAGTAAGGTATGGATACCTCAAAGCTGACCTAACTTGGAAATATCCAAACCATGATTCTCGTGTAGTTTCCAAGGACGCCCTTTTGATTACCCACGCAGGTCCAGGAAGATGCGGTGCGCTTGTTCCATTTCGAAATCATGGAATACAACCTTGGCCGACGCTTCGTTTCCCTTGGAATGGGCCTTAGATACACGAAGACAGGAGCGGTGATCCCATTGGCAGGGTTTTCGGCCGTCCGTCATATGGGACTCGAAAATGTATAATAAGGGAAAGTCAACAAATCCTCCCATTAGCTTAGTTCCTGTAGATTAACGTAGCTTTCACCGCCGCCTAGTACGGTCTCCGTCATGAACAGCATGTTGTATGGTTGCCACTTGTGAAAGATAAGTTGCACCAGCAGCATCGGGAGCGTATCGAACAGATACATGTAGACCTCATGCGAAACGAGGTAACCGTCATGTCCCTGTACGAACTCGACGATCCGATAGACGCATCTGAATATGATGAGGGCGGCCATGAGGTAGAGGACGCGGAGGAGAGCCTTCCAAGGCCCTCCCGGCACCTTGGCTGGGTTGCTGCGGATCCGCAACGCAAATTTGACTGACACGTATAGGAAGAACCCAAAGAAGAGCAGCTGGATCACAAGGCCAAAGACAAGGATCTTCTCACCGATGCTACCCATGCCAGATATTGCCATCATCCCTCCACCGCTGCATTGTAAGAGGAAGGCGAGCACGTCCCCAACAACAAAGAGCTTGGTCACTCTCGCTGGGGAGATGATGGATAGCTCCGGCCGTTGCGTGCATTTCACAATTCGTCCGTAGCACATGTAGATGGTAGCTGCGTAGAGCGAGGGTGGAAGTAGGATCAACAGGGATTGACTGATATAGGGACCGAGACTTTTAGGGTCTTTGGCAGAGATGGCGCGGCTGATATATCCGAATGTCATCACTATTTATTTGTTGCTGGTTAGCCAAGGGTTATTTCGGATGCATAAATCTGTAATCCTTTTTCCCACTCCCTATTTATACACAAACGTACTAAAGGAGCCGACGACAAAGGCCGTGAAGAACCAGGCCTTAGCTTTCACAAAAGCTTGCCACACATAGAGGCCTGCGCTGATTCCGAACACCAATGCAAAAATAACACAGGCCCCTACATTTGGCTTGTAGTTGTAGAGGGAGCCCGCCTCACTATCATCCACCATGGTTATAGCTGTCTGTGTATCAGTTCAGAAGAATGAAGGTAAAACAATGGAGCAAAGAGCGCAAGTCTTGCGATAAGGGCACAGCTGGTATGCTTTATATAGTGGAGCTACACCCTAAGCCATAGCAATTTCAACGACAGATGTACGGAGCTGTGCTAAGAATGTGGTGGAGCTGCGCAATGGTGAACGGAGTGCGTGGTATCGGGGCATCTCTAGTGAACGAATACGAGCTAACCGGGGCCATGATTTCGGTCGGCATTGAACGCCAATGTCTGTGTTCTAGTTTCACGGTTTTCAACTTCTATTTCTGCTCTATTCTTCATGCCTGATTCGAATTAGGTATAGGTCGGCATGAATACATATTCGCAACATTTTGAGATATTCGCATTCGTATTCGAGTCTACAGACCTCCACGAATATTCGTACGAATATTGCTTCACTTTCAATATAAGCTACCACCCAATAAGAGAAGACGTATCACGTGCAGTTTGTTTATCTAGGTCGCATCTGAATATCCTTTTATTTTAAGCTCCCGTCTTCAATGACGGTTCTGGACCTTAACATGTCTAATGCTAAAATGCAGGCTTTAAAACAATGATGTTTCCGGCAGTTTATCTATCGAACCGCGATCACGACCCCAACGGTCTCAGAGAATAGATTATCACCTTGAATGGCGGAAGTGATAACGATATTGAAAACGATATTAGAAAGAAACCCAGGCTGGACCTGCCACTGGATCGCTTAGAATCAATTGGTCTAGAAGACTCCGCTAGTCAGCTGCATCTCAATCTATCTACTCCTTTAGAATCTGCTTCACCAGGCGGCTCTAGAACCCTTGCAGACATTATACAGCTATTCAAATTGCACAGCAGATCTCGTGTCAAGCCGCTGAATCAATGGATTTAGAATCAGTTTCGAGTCAATCATCTTCCGGGCAAACAGTGGCGATCTAGACGAAGTAGACAGTTATTCGAGGATCAAGAGATTCAATGCATTCATTGTGGCTGGAAAACTACAGATTCGGCAAGGGCAACATTAACAAGTAATATAAAGACTCATCTAGCCAAACACAACTTTATCGAGAAGTCCGATCTAGAGGACCCTAGTCAGGTCTCAATTGCTTCAATATTTTAGTTCCAAGCTGAGCGCGACACTAGAGCTCTATTAGAACAGAACACACTTCGATAGATTATAACAGATAATGTAGTATTTACGGCAATTGAGTCTCCTGCATTTCGAAAGATATTTAAGGACTTACCGGATGTTTCTCTTCCCAAAGGTAATTCGATCCATCAAGGATACTTTGCGATACTTTGCATGAGCAATACCCATCCAAACCGTCACTGGAGCAATCTCTGTCAAAGGTTAATCAGGACAACAAGCGGCGAAGCCTATGTGACCTCCTGAAGCCAGGGAACTTCCCGGTGCGGAGGAACGTACTGGTTAGTTAGTATAGGATCGAGGGACCCTCCGGTAGGCATCCAGGAACCTTCCTGGATGCTCTGCAGGCATTCCTGCCTGAGGCGAAGCCTCGGGCAGTATATAGAGACTCTAGATCCTCCCTCCTAGATAGCCTTTCTTCCCCATGGGAAAATTCTTTGACTACGAGTCAGAAACAAACTTGTCTTATACTAAGCTCCTTTGTAGACCGTCACAGGTATTACGGTCGTGACGAGCATCTTCGTCACTGTTCGAAGATGAGGGCGGATCATCAGGAGGGTCGGGCACCTCATTTGCTAAGGTGATACTGCCTTCTCTCGAGACCCCTGGCTCAAGAAGCCTGGGGTCGATAAGGTCAAGATCGGGAGTTGTGCGGGCCGAACTGAGCGAGAAAACTACAGTCGAAATATTACTCACGCTATTCTCACTATCTGAGCTGACCCTGGCATGAACGCTGGCGTTGTGGTCAAAGTCGGCATGCTCCCAGTTTATGACCCCAGCCTGCGCTGCGTCATGAGGTAGTAGATGAATCGCGGTAGGCGAGTGAGGCTCAGCGTCAGCAGCAATTGGTTAATCAAGAGGAAGAGGTCGATAGTGTCAAAACTTGATATTCTTCGATGCTGCTCCTTCATCTTTGACCTCAACCCTCTTTTGCTGCTCACCGGCCCCTCTTTTTCTCTTGATAGCCGGTTTGGGCTCCGGCCTCAGCCATATCGCGTTCGTCAGGCCATGCACATCGCGCAAATAACGACGAAAATCGATCTCAGACTCAAACGATCGTGAGCAGCCACAAATAGGATTTGTACTTGGCTATTCTATCTTCTGAATGTGTCTCCTTTCAATATGCCCTCTTAAGCCGGCACTGTACAACCAGTGTTTCACTCTTTCTTCAGGTGCAAGGGTCTGGTCCCACAGACAACAAGGGCAGTATCCGGGGCGGATTACCGCATTGCGGTAAATAATTGTCTCGCAGTATAAGTTATCCTACAATTGAAGGTATTGGCCACCGTGGTAATGCCAATCATTTTCCTGGAACCACGACATGCATTCGTAACAATATCTTAGCTGATAGTCAACTATTCCTAGGCGGCAGGCAGTAGCCTTAAAAATACAGTCGTAAATGTAACGACTTCTCTTTGATTTTAGCAGTCTGCATTCAGTTAGTAAAGTATCTCATACATTGTTGCAGGTGGCACTCACATCTGAATGTTATCTTGGCACGTATCGACCGGGAAGTGGCCATTGATGAGAGATTCTCTGGGGAAATAAACTATATCGTAATTACGGTGACACTGTGTGAGCAATTGATTCCTCGTCATGACTAAGTGGCTCAGCAGAGGACAAAGCCTCAGCTATGCATCCCATTTCAGGCATGATATGGGTCAGAGCGCGAGTACATGCATTACTTTCCAGTAATTCGTGAGAGTTCTTTCCCCAGCTTAGAATTCGCCAATCGCGCCTTTCCCGAACTCACTAATCCTAGTAATGATGAAGCTCCGAGAGTCAAATGCTAATCAGGACCTTCCTATATTTATTCTTTTCGAAATTGACAGCCTTAGAGTCCGTTTTCGTGTTTAACTGTTCGATACAAGCCCGTTTAGTAATCAGTTCCGGACGCTGCAGGATAGCTTCTTTCACTTCAGCAGGTAATTCGTGAGGCAGTCTAATCTCCCGGAATTGTCCGTATCTTTAAAAGTAATCGATATAATAAATCTCTTCTTTCTCGTCTAAAACATTAACGACGGTATCGATCGACGAACAATAGGCTTGATAGTATGTCGGATACGTTCCTTCATTTTTATAGCTATAGATCTGGAAGACAGGTACAGAACTATGTCTTGCTATATGAATTCAGTGACACTTTCCTTAAAACGAGCCGGAGGTACAACTTACATTCGATCTTCCTACCAAACGACTGACGAATATCGTGTATCGTAGTACACTTCGAATATTCGGCCATAGTAAGGATCTGACGGAAGAAAATACAAAATTGCTACTTATTAAGTACTGCCTCTTGAGAACCCTGCGCAATAACATTTCTGAAAATAGATCGATCTAAAGTACTATCTTTCTAACGAAGCAGAATCTCCGTGTATTGCCCGTCACGAAAGTCATATTGAGCTAAGTCTTCCATTGACTCAATACCAAACAGAGCTCTATCGTGCAGGGTAATCGTAAGAAAAAAGATACCAGTCACAAACTGCAATCGATTGTAGTCTCGAATCCTAATTCTAAATCTGACAACCGATCAGTAACTGCACGTAATCTCGAAAAAGCCGAACTGAAAATTCCGTACACTGTATAATTCGGGTCACGATAGTTCTTTAATTACTTTTGATCGATCCGCTATCCTACCTTGTAGAGCACATCTGCAGAGTGGAACAAGACCAGGTCGATATACTGTAAAATTAGCAAAAGCCCGCACGAGTCAAAAATATCACAATATAACCCTTTTACCTTGTATCGGAGTCCTCTCTCTTTCTTGTATTCTGCATCCGGTATAAGAGTCCCGATCTTTGCTCCAGTGAAGAGAAATACCTGCAGTACAAGAGAAAACCATGAAGAAAGACAGGACTGTCCCGTGCTTATATAGAGACGATATTTCAAAAATCGTCTCGGGTAAAGTTGAACTTCTGCTTTTTGATATCTTTAATACAAACAATATCTGGAGCAGGGACGCCGATTTTGAGGACGTAACCAGATGGTTCATAGTTCTCTTCTACAAGATACTTGATAAACGTGGTTAGCACGCGCCCAGTTTCCAGTTTGCCGGGAGGTCACTTACTCCGTGTATATGGTGACACATTGGCGCTGTAGGTCCTTAGTTTCATCCAGGCAGTTGTTTTTACTCCTGATAGCGTTTTCTTCCTGGTATGCTCTTGAAATATACTTACAAGTAAGACGACGCTTACGGTATCTTTTCTGGGCATCTTTACCGTACCAAAAGGATCTTTTGCCTATAGTTAGCGAAGAAATCAAAACATGAAGAGTAAGAGAGCAGGCATTGGATATGCACAAGGCAAGGTCAGAACAGGAAAGGAATAAGATATTGGTCACTTGATCAGCTTGTAAACGGGATAAAGGTATCCTTTTATACCTTTACCAGAGCTATTGTAATCAATACTGCTTTGTGCTTGGTAGATTTTGTCACTTAAGAGCCTTCCAACACCCTATCACAATTATGGTTGCATCATATACAACGAGCATTTTGGCGGAGGTAAGTACCTATTGTAGAGACAGTCAATTTGGCATTGTTATCAGGCTAACGGTATAGGTGACCGATCACTAATCCCGCCCTAAGTAGGACCTGACGCGCTCACTAAGCCTTGACCAGTAATGAGAAATACTCAGTGAGTAACCCCCTGAGCACCCTCGTTAAAGCGGCCCCATCCAAACAGGGAAAGTCACATTAATTCTAGAAAATCAAGTCTGTATAGGTACATATTGAATTTGGACTGCTAGACCAGTAAGCGGCGGTGTCGATCCCACGTGGCCGCCAATGGACGAGCTACGTCATGGGCAGCCAAGCGCTGCTAGCGAGCCCCTCCTTCGCCAGTGAACTCAATCCATTGACTTATTTACTCCTGATAGACTATTACTGCGAGAAGTCATGTCGCTGATTTCCGCCTTTCGACCTCGATCTACGCGGGCTACTTCGCTCCGTCACCGACCTCCTGCTAGACAGAGACGAGCTGCCCGAAGACCGGAGCATGAAGGCGAAGGCGACGATGATGCACATTCCATCATTACCCCCTCAAAACATACCCCCAAGGCGATCCGTGTCTTGCGAGGTTCCATCTCGGCCGGTGGTCCTTTGCGTCCTTTTCGGCTGGTGAAGCAGGACATTGTGAATCTGCGCCGCCGATATGTCTCGGATTGGACGATCTTCAACCAGTTGGTCTTCGCGAGTGCCGTTTATGTCTTCTTCACGAATCTCTTACCGGGGATCACCTTTGCGAGCGACTTGTATGTCTTGACAGGTAAGAGTTGGGGAACTATCGAAGTGGTTTTTAGCACGGGTCTTTGTGGCATCATCTTCTCACTGTGAGTGACGAAATTTGTGATTGGATCTAGAAGAAATAACAGCAATGACTCGATTAGTTTGTCCATCCAGCCCTTGACCATTCTTGGAGTGACAGGGCCCTTCTCAGTGCTAGCAGAGAATATCTATGCCTTATGTGAAGAAGATTTCAAGGTGCGTCACCGGGCCCTTCTCATATCTTTACTATGATTGACATGTTGCCAGGTACCTTTCCTACCATTCATGGCCTGGTCCCTTATCCATGCTGCATGGTTGCACTATGTGCTAGCAATCATCAACGCCCATGACTGGACTATGAGATATGTGACGACCTTCGCCACTGAGATCTTCTCACTGCTGAATAGCATCATCTACTTCCACAAGGCTATCCAAGAGCTGGAGAGAGCCCACGACAACCTCTCCTTTGCCTCTTTTCTATACGCCGTCATCGGTGCTGTAGGGACAATGCTACTTGCCATCTTCCTTTCCACCGCCGAGAGCTGGAGACCACTATTCCATCGATACATCCGGATGGGATTGACTGAGTATGCCGCGGCGATTTCCATCATCATATTCATCGGCCTGCCTTATACCGGCGAACTGGCAAACCTCGATAAGATGACACTCGCGGTCAGCCACTCCTTCAAGCCCACCTCGCCGGATCGCGACAAATTCATCGTCGAGTTCTGGACCCTCCCTGTTGGCTGGGTGTTTGCTGCCATCATCCCGGGTATCATCATCACGATTCTTTTCTTCTTCGACCACGAAGTCAGCTCTATCATCTGCACCATTGACCGCTACGGCACCAAGAAGCCCGGTGGTTTCGCGTGGGATATCATCCTTCTAGGCACCACGACCGCGCTTTGCGGCATTTTGGGAATCCCCCCGGCAAACGGTCTCCTGCCGCAAGCACCCCTACACTCAGAGTCCCTGATGCACTCAGAACCCGAACAGCGGACCGTCGTCGTAGACGGTGACGAAAAGGTCGAGACTCACGAAGTCAAGCGCGTTTACGAGCAGCGATGGTCGTCTTTTCTGCATGCCGGGGCCATCCTGCTCTTCGTTAGTCCTCCGTTCATGAAAGTTCTCGGTCTGACCCCGACCAGTGTCCTTGCGGGTCTATTCATGTTCATGGGCGAGCAGAGTCTTTCAGTTAAGTAAGTACTTCCCTAGCCCCTACACAACCAAGCCACCGCCCATCCATACTAAAGCCAATAAACAAACGAATGAACTAACCAAACGCAAGTCCAATCCTCTACCGTACCTTCTACCTCCTCACACCCCCATCTGAACTCCCACCTCTTCCTGAATCACTCGCCAAACGAGAAACCCCCTCAGAATCTAACCTCAGCCCTAACCCGAACAACACCAGCACCAATGCCAGCACCACCACGACGCATCACCAAAACCCACCCCCTTCCTACCTCCCCATCCACCTCTACACCCTTCTCCAAATCATCACCACAGTGATAATCTTCATCATAACCCTCACGCGCGGCGCGCCCGCTTTCCCAGTCCTAATCGTCGCGCTGGTCCCGTTCCGTCTCCTCGTCATGAACCGGTGGTGGCCGCGCGAGGTCCTCCGGTTCGTGGACGCCTGGGCATGTCGCGAGGGAACGCCCGAGGATGACGAGGAGGCAGCGGAGAAGAGTCGAGAGGAAAGTAGCGGGGGTTGTGGTCCCGACACGGCCGACGGAGGGATGTTTTCGGCTCGGGTGGATGAGTCGGGGATGGAGTTGCAGGATCAACGGGAGGTAGGTTCTTCGCGTGATGGGAGGGCTGTTGTGGAGAGTAGAGATGCAGGGCCGGATTGGGTGGACTTAGGGTTTCGAGCGAGGGAGGATGAAGAGTTGGGGAGGTCGGTGGATGAGTGTTAAAAGGATGGATGGATGGATTTGTCTGTTGATTGTTGGTGGAAAAGATCATCTGTGTTTTCCAGTAATCCTTGATCATAGGCGAAATAGGGAGATCATAGGGTATATAGGAGTATGAGATAATTTAGATTATATAGGGAGAATAGAATTTCCAAGAATTCAGAATTAATTCACTCCGATCATAGGGTATCATGTCATCGTTGTAGACATAACATAACATCATGGGAAGAAAGCGCCAATCCATCCATGACTCCTAAATAGAGCCAGGTAAAAGCCAACATCTATATATGACAGGCAAGACAGCGCCCAATCCGAACCGCGAAAAGACCACGCTAATATATCTGAGACAAAATATATATATATATATATATATATATATAAAGGGGACAGAAACACCGGTCATGCCCTCCACCCCTGCACAAACTCATGAAGGTAATCAATAACCACACCAAAGATGGCATTGACGCTATCACTAATGAGCTGCTCAAAGTGTCGAATGGCTTCTTCGTCCGTCATCTCGAGGTTGAACCGCTCCTTGACCTTCAAGACGGCCTTGTCTGGTTCCACGCGGATATCCGGGATATTGGCATCGACCATGAGACTGAAGAGGTTCAGGATCAGGTTGGCAGATTTGCGGAGCGTAGTGTATGCAGTGAAGCAATACTGCTTGAATTGGAGATAGTGAGGGGAGGTGGTGCCGCCCATGCCTTCGACCATCTCCTTACAGAGTTTCATCATGGGCGCGAAGGGCTTGGGATCGCGGCCCAGGATAAAGCCGAAGTCCGCGTGGAAGAAATGACCGTCCGGTGCGAGGAGGAGGTTCTCTAGATGTCGGTCGCCGACGCCGAGGAGATAGGTGATCACGCAATACCCGGCACAGGATTTGATGTACGTGTCCATTGTTTCCTTGCGGATTCCGAGAGGCTCGTTATCGTCGGGGTTGTTGGCTCTGAGGTATGCGAGGACGGACTTGTATTTCGCCGATACTGCAGAGAGAGACTGGGAAGGGATGAACTGAACGGCGCCGGCCGTAGAGTTGGTGGCAAGGATACGGTACGGGGTCAACTTGAGGTCTAAATTTTCCTTTTGCAGGAGACGATCCATGAGAATGATGATCTGGATGACAAGTTGATCTTGCCGAAGATCGTCTCCGACTTTGAACAGGAGGGGATATTTCTGCCCCTCGACGGTCTTGAAGGTGATGTTTAGAGGCGACAGGGTGGACTTGAAAACATTTGACTCGTCCGGATAACAGCCGGTGATGAGGACCTCAGGATCCAAAGGTAGCGGCAAAGGTGGGTCAATATGCACAAAGTCATTCTTAGGATCCCTCAGAACCTTTTTCAGCCTCTCGATCTTGAGAATTCGATTTTCCCGGGAAAATCGAATGTCCTTGGAAATCTTCGAGAGTACGGTGATCAGCTCACCCTGCCGTAGCAGCGTCTTTCGGTGTTCTGGGTGGATTCGCTCCAACTCGGTCATGAAATAATACTCCACACGGGCAAACACTCTACGCTGTGATTCCAGAGTGCCTGGGCCCGTATCGTCACATTCGACCATGAGGTACCAATGCAAATAGTTTCCAAGTTGGAAGTTGTTGGCAGCACGAGTGACAAGGAAATTGGCTAGAGACGAGTCATGGGCAACATCTTCCGTCGTCCCGTCGGAATGATCCTCATACTTGAGTGCCTGCACTAATTGCAATAGATAGAGCAAAAGCTCTTCGTCGTCAGCTTTTCGAAGCCGGTCCACTGCATAAGAACGAACGGCGGGATTATCGAATGTCGGCCCCAGAAGTTCCAGCGCATCGTCGACGTCAATTTCAGTCCATTTAGGAAGTATTTCCACGGCTTGATGCGCTTCACCCGCATCTCGCCAGTTCACTGACTTGACAAACTTGGTGAGCGCGCTTTTCTCACGCGTCAGGTAGTAGCGGAAGCGCCAAACAACATCCTTTTCTTCCGCGGTGAGATCTTGCGTGGGCTCGTATGATAGAATAACGTTTAGTTCATCACGGATCTTGGGGTTTGGCTTTAAGTCTCGGTCCATGATACCGGTGCGATGACTACGAATAAGCCTCCTGTGTTTGTCTTCGCACGGGTTGCCCGTCTGGCCGACTTCGGGATCGTAAATTCGAATCACGCTGTCCCCATCCGTGCCTTCTATGCCCGGACCGAACCGGACTTCGGGGACAGGTTTCAGTGCAGGGTTTGCATTTGCAGCCGCGTTCTGGGAATGCGATGAAATAGGAGGCGCGGAGTATTCGTGGTCCGACCAAATGATAGGGTGATCGAATCGTGGGAACTCGACGTATAAGGTGAAGTTTTCGTCGTCAAAATCTTCTGGATCCGAGTCCTCATCTGCATTTTCTTCACTCGGTAGCTTGTGTTTGATTGCCTTCAACCGGATAGCACGCTTCCTTGCAGCTTCCTCGGCATTCAGCTTAAGCTTCTCCAATTGTCGGAAAACCATCTGATCCATCCAGTCAATCCGCGGTATCTCTCCCATCTCGTGCTTCTTGATGAGAACCTCCACTCGCTCCAGTTCCAATTCTTCGGATGAAGGACCGAACGAATCAGCGGCGTTGGCTCGGCGTCGCTTAGGAGGTGGAGTTGAGGGAGTCGTTGTAGCGGAGAGGCCGTCCGCCGCTTTGTGGCGATAGATCTTGCATTTTTGTCGGCCCATCTTTAATTTACCATCTTGGTCGAACAAGGGTATCGTCGTGCCGCCAAAGGGGACATTATGCGCTTGCGATCCATCACTCTTCGCCGGGGACAGATCCCAGACAGTTATAGCCAGCTGGCACTTAAGGGGAGCATCCTTCATGGACAGAGGCATCTCAAGCCATTCACCCCATGACCTAGCTGATTTGAACCCCTTGTATGACGTCTGCAAAGGCACCCCCAACGGTTTCGAGTCCGACCATAGTTGCGCCGTCACATAGAGATCCGAGTTGGGGCTTTGCGTGGATCCCAAATGTCGCAGGTCGGGCCGTTGCGAAAGGACCGAGTACGGGATCTCTCGCTGTCTCCCTTCTAGGGAACCACTGAATGAGTACATTGGGTTAGCTAGTGTAGAAGCTATGTCTGGAATCGACTGGCGTTACATTTTGATGCAAATTGCAAAGTCTACCTGAGTGGAGATCGCAAAGGTGAAAGCCTCCATCTTTGAACCAAATATCTTGGAGCTGAGCTGCGTCTAGCGGTTCGTACAGCGGTTCATGACGCGATGCTCCCTCGATTTAAGAAGTAAGTGAGGGCCGTGAAGCCGGAGAGCTCCATCCGGGGTGATCGGAGACTAGCGCCAATTGGCTCCAAGGCGGTCAACAGGACGCGGGGTCAGCTGAGTCCACGTGACCGAGTCCACGCGTGACGCGCCGAGAAATCGATTAGTGAATTGTGATCAGGCAGTGTTCTGTTGGACATCATTATCACCTGCTCTTTTGCTCGCTTCATATTCCATACGCTGTACTACTCACACTCTCCCGTTCTCCGCCCTCTTCCCGACGTTACCTCATCCCGCCCTCATATCATTATATCTATCCAATAGCGCGTCCCTCCGCGTTTCCGTTTGTCGCAAAACCGCAGACAAAGAAAAGAGCATGGCGCCTAACCCCCATGCAGCCGGGCCGCCAAGTCAACATTCGTCCCCGGGGACCTATTCCGACAAGGAGAACCATCAACATCAAAACTCTTCCCGGAATCGCAAGAGAACTCAGGATCGGGCGATGGCTTCTTCCGCTGCCAGTGCAAAGCGCCAGCTATTAGCGAACAGAACCGCGAATAAACATCATGGCAGCCAGTCTCAAATACCGCCTTCGCAAGACGACCCCAACAAACAATATTATGACCCGGATCAGGATGAAAAGGAAAGACGGCGCATTCGCAAGGGCCTTCGAGACTTGACATGGGAACTACATGGTATGGATGCCTGATCAGGAATGAGTTTTTCCCCCCACGTCTGACAAGGCTCTAGACTCTAGGACCGAATACATGCAAGCGGGCAATGACGGCATCCGACAAACCATCAAAAAGGCGAATGAATTCTTCCGAGATGTCAAGCAGACTTCGGACGCGACGATCGATTCCCGTCTCCTGGTTAGTGCCGCCGATTTATCGTATAAAAAGACGGCACAGCTGGTTCTCGGCGACGCGTCCGCGGGGGTCGATGTCGACGAGTTTGTCTCCAAGTGCATTTCTTTCATGCGTCATGGCCCGGAGGATCCCCAAGCAATCCCAAGCAGCACCCAACGCCGCCGCGTACACGGGAGAAGCCAAGCAGACCCTAACGATAGCGACGAGGACCAGGGAGATGCGTTGAACTGGGACTGGCTGGGACGCTCCGCCTGCGTTCGCAGTAATGCCCGACCGGCTGTTTCTGGTTTCCTTCTAGGACCTCTATCGGTTCAGAAACGTACGCGACAGTTCACACAACGAAGAGCAAGGGAACAAATCGATCCATCGCAGGCAGTTCGCCCGCAGGAACTTGAGGATAAGGACCTTGATCGACAAGAGACGTCTAACCTTACAACGATCTGCTCGAACATTAACAAACTCCTGGCGGAAACCCAGAAAGCCGGCCAGGAATCTGTTGAGGGCGTTTTGGAGAGGCTTTTCCAGCAGTCGGGGGACGAACCTACCGATGAGACGGTCCAGAAGGTCATGGCTCTGCATAATGTCGCTGATGACGGTGGTATCCCTTTGTTTAACTTCTGCATCAACCCCAAGTCATTTGGACAAAGCGTGGAGAATCTGTTCTACGTCAGTTTCTTAGTAAGAGATGGCACGGCTGGTATCTCGGTCGACAGTCGACAGTTGCCAACTTTGCGTAAGTTTTGCGCCCTGGCTATCCTTTGTTTCGTGTACATTGAACTAACGAGGTTTTCTAGATCATTCTAAACCATATGCACCGAGCGAAGCGCAAAAGAAAGGGATTCAGAAGCACCAGGCTATCTTTAGTCTTGATTTTGAAACATGGCGAGACTTGATCGATGCCTACAGCATCAAGGAATCAATCATTCCTCATCGCCGGGAAGAAGAATCTCAGGCCACCGGACAGGGCTGGTACAGCTAAAGGTCTACCCCGGGGCCAAAGTTTGATTCTTGTTCAATAGATGTATGTACGTGATACCTATTTTGTTTTTCGAGCGTTATAATGTCGGTCTGTTGGAAGCCTTTCGTATAGTTGTGGCCATTGTATTAGAGTTGAGCACTGTCCAATGTGAATACTTGATACATAATAATGTTCTAAGGATATGAATGCACAATTCTCTCTACACATCAACATGAAGCCGGAAGATCCACTCTAATTAGTAAACCTCGTACCCCTGAGATGCTCCGTAGTTGACCTGGAACCTCAGCATATCTAGAATCTCCACTGCATACTCCGTACTAGGAACATTAACTCCAGCAGTCTCCAGTAATTCCAGGCACGCATTTCGCTCATTGGATTAGCGATCAACGATGGCCCAGAACCCCCGGATCCCGACTTTTGTCCTTCCCGTCCCCCCATTACCTAATAATGACGTTGACGTCATGGGCTTGAAACCAGAGCCATGATCGCCTCGTGACAGAGTATTTATTGTTGCACAAAGTCCTCAAGGTCCTTTGCATTTTTGTCTTTTGGCAGCTGAAGCTGGAAAATATCATCCACTGAGATCAACGATAGATCGCCACTATGGCTCCACAACTGTTCCCCAAGAACCCCAGCGAGAGCATGGTGATCCGCAATGTCACCTCCGACGTGGTCACCATGAGCTTGCCATTCGCACGATTTGGACGCTTGAAGTTTGGAGGTCGAGGAACATTAGGTTCGTGTCTACCAGCCCCGACTACCTGTGACGGGAATATTGTGAAACCAAAGGCCCCCTTGCTTACCACATCACGAGGACAGTCAAAATGGAATCGGGCTCGATCGCAGTCTTCTCGCCCGTGAGCCTGACCCCCGAGGTCCAAGCAGCCGTTACCTCCCTCGGCGGCAACGTCAAGTACATCGCGGCCCTGGATCTAGAACATCATCTGCATCTGACGTCGTGGAAGAACGCGTACCCCGACGCGGAGATCATCGCGCCCGAGGGACTGTGGGAGAAGCGCCAATCCAACCCCGAGTTCAAGGATACGCCGTTCCGCCACATCTTCCGCAAGGAGGACCAGCGGCCGCGAAAAGTCTCCGATGAGTTTGACGCCGAGTTCGAGTCCGAGTACGTGTACGGCCACCCTTCACGGGAGCTCGTATTCCTGCACAAACGATCGCGCACCCTCATCGAGGCCGACCTGTTGTTCAATCTCCCTGCCCGCGAACAGTACTCCAAGTCGAACGAGAGTGCCAAGAACTTCCTGACGAGCGTGATTTGTCCGGCCTTGTCGACTGCGGCGCCGGCGACGTGGCAGAAGAGGTTCGTCTGGTATGTCCTGTCGACGGCGGATCGGTCGGCCTTTACCGAGTCGATGCGTCGCATTAACCACTGGGATTTCAATCGTCTGATTCCATGCCATGGAGATGTGATTGAGAGTGGTGCTAAGGGAGTGTTTCGGACAGTGATGGAGTGGTTCCTGGAGAATGATAAGAAGAGGACCTAGCCTTTGTCCCTCTCGAATCAGTTTTCTTTGTCTTTCTCACCTGTCGATTTTTCTTCTCCGTTTTGACTTGATGCAGGCATCCAATGTACTAATAATTGTTGCTTTTGAGGTGTGAAGTTTGATGTCAATCTGCTAGCGGACATATGATTATCTCTACTTCTAATAATTACTGCGAAAAAAGGTATTTGTCTTTACCAATGCAAGTCTACTTCACTGCAGAAGAGGCCAATATCCTCATATTTTCATATTTCCACTCCCTCAACTCCCTCACTCAATTCCACAAATCAGTACTTATCCGCATTCCCCTTCGCTTGGATCTCCCTCCGCTTACCCGCCAAAAACTCAACCATCTCATCCTGGGGTAACCTCGACGGCGGAATCTTCAATCCCCTTTGAACAGCCTCTCTCTCAGCGATAGTCTCACTCCACTTTTTCAGCGCCGGCCACTCCCCCAACTGCAAGTCCAAAGCCAACGGACCAACAATCACCCACGCAAAGCTAGTGATATCCGCGATGGTGAGCTTGTCGCCGGCCAGGTATGGCGATTCCTGCAGACGCGATTCCAGAACGGAGTACAACCGTTTCGTCTCGTCTGTGAATCTCTTAATGCCGTAGTCGGAGCGGACCTCGGCAAAAGTTGAGAAATGATTGGCTTGTCCTGTGTATTGGGGAGTGAGGTTAGGGATTGATGCGCTCCTCTTATCTCTCGAAACCAACCAGCCCTTATAGGGAATTTCGGTCCTTCTGACCCGCTACAGGTCAATGAAGATAGAAGTCAGTCGTACCTTGCATAGGCCCTAGGCCACCCATTTGCCACATCAGCCAGCTCAACTGCTCTGCATATTCCGGAGTACCCGGGGCGTAGCTAAACTTGCGTTCTGTGTCGTATTTGTCGGCGAGGTAGAGAAGGATGGCACCGCTTTCAAATACCCGGTTCTCGCCGTCTGTGATGGCGGGAATGCGGCCGTTGGGGTTGATTTTGAGAAACCATCTAACTGGCCTGTGAGCTTGCGACGGTCATTAAGGATAGCTCAAAGTGGACAGACGCTTCTTTTTGCTCGTTTGCGCCCAGGTCCAATGTGTGGATCTCGTACGGGAGATTGAGTTCCTCGAGGAGAATGCTGACTTTGTAACCGTTGGCGGTGCCGGCCGTGTAGAGAGTGATGTTGGGTGATGATGCCATTCTGGGTTGTTATTTGGTGCTATGGATGACTTGCCAATGTAACTCCTGTGGCAATTTCTAGAATGAATGGGAACGTGATGTCCCTGCAAAAGATGCAGGGCTCATATTTATGATCTTTATCTATAATTGATTTATAAGAATGAGTGTTTGATTTCTAACCACCCGAAGGATTTGCAACGTGCTACAAGAAGAAAAGCGTGATCCTTGGTATAGTACTAAGGTAGATAGTAGGTGCTGACGCGGATGGTTGACTACTCGATCACCCAATTGTGTTTGAGAACACGGCGCCACTGTTGTATGGATATTGCCCATCTTTGCGATAGGGAAGAATCTATGGTTCTGTTGGCTTCTATCTAGTCTGACGCGATTTAGTTAAGTGTTATGAAGTCGCTATAGGTGTTCTGAGGTGCAAGTAGCCAAGCCTTTTCGGCGATGGACGATCTCTCTCTTACTAGTTAACTACATCCACTAATTTAGTCAACTCATCGGAAGACGGCTAACTTTTAACTAATTCTTTTCATTTAGTGATCATTGTTGATCACAGCGGTGGTCAACCGGCATCTAGACCATCTACAGACGCTACAACAGCAGTAGTACCACCAAGTGTTGTCACTTGTGCAACTTCGGGAGCCTGGCCCTGCTTCTTGGGCAGAGTCAGTTGAACACTGCCCTATGATTGGTTGAAATTCAATTTAGATTTATAAATATCTAAATGATCCTATATTTGTTATTGAGATTCCTTTCTGTATCGAGACTGGACAGGAATGAGCTTTGGAAACCGTTACATTACATACTCGAATGTATGAGATTAGACTCCTGTAGATCATAAGCCTGTTGTCAAACCCTAGGATCCGTCTAAGCTGCGCTGGTCTGCTACCGTAGATAAGTTCAAGCACTAGGTGATCAACTGGT